ACAAACCTACTCAAAAAAAAAAAAATTGTTCCGATGTCCAGTTTATCAAGAAGGACCTTTTACAGGAGTAAGGCATCATGGGCAGGTCCCTCATTCTTAGTTGGGGAAAATTTGGCCTAACGCTCAGTGCAAGGTGCTCCCCAAAACAGGGCTCCCTTGGCAGACAGCATTTTCTAGGAACCTGGGGCAAGACGTGTGTCAGTAGTGGAGTAGTGCCAGCACCTGTTGACTTGTGTCATGGTTGTGCCTTCAGGAGTCTACGTGACTGAGTCCACGTTGTGAAATATCAGTAGTCACAGGTATCTGGGATGTGTTTGGGAGATCAGGGGAGTTCGTGCCAATGTTTGCTTTTCTCATAACCGATGTTGATAGACTTACCATGGAAAGGTATAAGGTCCTTCTAATGATGGGGATGATAACGGCTTTTTGAAGCATCTCCTCAACGTGAACATTGTCCCTTGTGACTTGGATAGGATCCCGAGAGGAGGAGCAGAGTGGGCTTTGTGTGTTAGCACTATCTGATGTACACACTCCATGCCATGCTCTGATTTACTGAGAGTGTCCCCAGGACTCCCTTCTGGACCACACAGTGTATGTATGTATACACATTATGGTAGGGATAATGTGATTCATCTGGTGAATGGGATTAAAGAATAATTCTCTTCCCCCTTCACCAGTGTCTGAGATTTTTCAATGTTCAGTTTGCCCCTGCACTATAAAGTTAGCAAGTTATCCTAAATAACATTTTCAGACGGTTTTGCTTCCAAGTAACAGGAGAAAGAAGGAGGAGGCTCTGTTAGGCCTGTACAGACTTCCTGCAAATGGGGATATAAAAAGTCAGTGCTTGCATATGTAGAGAGCAAGGAAACTCTTTGTACAATCAGTAAAGTCTGTCTTTCTCCCATGTTCCCCCTCATTTATCAAGATAATCCATGTAAAATATCACTACCTGAGGCTGGTTCTCATAACTGAGGGGCACAAAAAGTGCTGAGCTGTCAGACTGAAATTTTACGTTTCATTTTTCAGACTTTCTAACTGAGCCATTTGTTCTTTCTTTTCAACTACTATTATTTTGAAGAATGGTACGTTATAAAAATAGAAAAAAATACATAATTTTTTCCCTAAGTGATTTTAACAGTAAATCAAATAGCCCCAGAAACCAGTTTGAAAGGTGCTGCAGGCTGCTTTGAAGGAAAACATAATCTTGATACAAATGAGGAATGTTGTTTATAAGTATTTGAATAATTGTAAACTACCAATATTGAGTAAAATATGATCACTGTCTGTACCCTTTATGTTTCTGTGGACTGTGTTTTAGTAGCAAAACATAAGTTTACAGATGTAAATGTATCTTAAAAGCAGTATTAATTTTAGTGCATTTGCCATTTACAGACATTGGTGACTCCATGGTACAGCTGCAAGTTGGATACTTGAAGCTTTTCTGAGTTGCAAAAATAATAGTGTTGAAACAAAAAAAGCTCATTTTTCTTGCGCTAAGTTTTACTATTCTGTGTTTTTTCCCCGTTTGGTTGCATATTTGCTCAGTTATTGCAACATTGGAGAAAAACACCTGAAGACCAAAATGTGATTGCCGGTTAATGAAAATTAGCCATTAGGTGGCAGAATTGCTAATTGCACCTTTAATTATTTCTTTCTGGACAGTCTCATCAATTAAGGAAAAAAAAAAAAGCACATAAAATGATATGTAGTCTCTTCATTAAATATCTGAGAGCATCTCTGTATTGGCCCTATGTTATTAAGCCCTGTGCTTTTGGTCATGAGCGTTCGAGTCAAGCAGAAAGACTGTTTGCAGCTTACTTGTGTCCATCTGTGGTAATCTGAGGAAGAAAAGAAAATGCCTAAAATGAAGCTCCCATGGCTTTGTAAGAGAGGAAGCATCAAGGGGAATGCTGACAGATACATAATTATAATGGCAGTAGTGGCTGTTGCTGTGTTAATAGCATCTGGCAGTGGAATCACTGCCATCTGTTAACACCCTGAAATTCTGAAATGGCACATTCTTTATGTAGAGATTAACAATAATTAACGAATCTATCAGATGAAATCACCTTGATTTGATGACAGCTTTACCCTGATAATGATTAATTGCGAAATAATGGGGAGTAAAATGCCCACTTACCAGTAAAATGCCTTCTTACCACAGACTAGCTAATGCCCCTATCCAAGTACAGCATTCTGCATGGCTTATTTTTAAAGTTGTGATGAGAGGCAATATTTAATGTGTTTCCTTCAAATAATCCGTATAAGCAGAGCTAGATTAAAAGCTAAATTTTACATATTAATTTCTATTTGCAGCAGATTAGGACTCTGAAAACACTTGCAGTTCTGCAGATGCATGGTAACTTACTCAGTGTTAATCACTGACTCACGTGCCTCAAAGACAGAGAAAATGAGTTTGAACTGAGAGAAGTGACACTTCAGCCCAGGTCCAGTCAGCCTCAAAGAGCAATCTGACTGCCTTAAACTATTTCGGGTTTGTCAGCTGGGTGTCATCGTGTTGTCTGTCAGATGTAACCTGTGGTTGATGTTGCTAAAATTCATCACTGCCTGATGCTGCCATTAAACAGCTTACTTGTAGAGGTTAATTACTTCAAAAAGTATTTTGAATTAAGCAGTGGGTTGGGCCTGGAAATATGGGGGGGATGAGTAAGACTTTGGTAGTAACTGTGAATGTGTGAGCTAGCCCAGCCATGGCTTGTGGCTAACAAACCATCTGGTTTTGCTCAAAATTAGAATCCAAACCATTAGTTTCTGATGAATCAGTGTCTCTTCAACAGCGATGGGAAAAAAATATTCCATTTATTTGTATTTTGAAGAATTATTTTTGAATATCTGTTTTTGTCAAAGCCCATATTTTGGTCAACGTAATGATGTATCAGTGCTGTAAATAAGAGGTATGAGCAAAGTACTGAGCCAGTTCAGGGGCTGGTTGTATTTCATTTTTCTCCTAATTCCTCTTCTGTTTACTCCTGCTGAGGAGCAGATGGAAAAGGTGACATGTTCTCTGATTAAACAGAAGAATTGTAAGAAATAAATAATTGAGGTCTGTTAATTATCAGAAGCAATAGGAGGGGAAAGAATAAACTTTGCACTCTTGAAGTCAAGTAAAACTAAATTTTATTTCTATCTCCATTTGTAAGTCTGATAATATGGTAAATAACATTCTGGGCTCCACAGAGAGAAGGCAATATGTATTTTTCTTGTGTCTGTCTATTTGTTCCTAAGTGACAGAAGTTTCTATATACTGGGATTTGTGCTGATGCCAGCTACTGATAGAGCTGCACTGACGCCAAACCACAAGTGGAGGTGTGGAAAGCTGGGTTTGTGTCACCCTGATTTATCGTAGCTCCAGACGCGGGAGCTGTAAATCAGAGCTTTCCTTGCCTTTTAATGGGAGCAATGGATTCACAGTAGTCTTTTGGTGGAGAACAAATGAGCTGGCCAAGCAGACTTGCGGATAAAGGCTGGGCTTGCCTGGTGCATGAGGCTGGAGTTCATCTGGCTCCTGGGTTTCATGTCCTCTTCCCTGTGCAACCTACTTCTCTTATTTTGCTTGACAATGAGTTCACCGTGCATATAGAGAGTCATTCACAGCTAAAATTCAAAGATGTTTTGAAAGCAAATGGATTCATCTTCTGTTCTGCTGTGTTGACTTTCTGTCACAGGATGCTGGGAAGGCAGTGGCTGAGGGAAGCAGGGGTGCTTGGTAGGGCTGGGAAGGAAGGCTTGTTTCTCTCTCACTGTTATTTTCACGCAAGACACTTCTGTTTGGGAGGATTAGAAGATATCCATTGAACAGTGTTAAATATGCTGAGGCAGTTGATGTTTACATTCCTTGTAGAATTATTCATTAAAATATTAACTGCTAGACAGTCTATCTTTTTTTTTTTTTTTAATTCAGTGATTTAGTAGCCCTCTTATAAATCATGTTGTGTCATTCAGACATTCAAAGACTAATTAAGACAAAACAAAACTGTCAAAATTACCCACAAAAGCACTAATTCTTGCTTTTACATTTCTTAAATTGTCACAGGCTTGATGCACTGAAGAAACAGAGAAGGATTTGTGTGGCGGGTGGGCTATAAATTTTAACTCAGCTGTCTTCCATCTGTACCGTCAGCTTTCCCTAACACACTGTGCTGATGTGAAAGGGGCTATATCCTGCTCCCAGTCTTCGCAGACAACAGAAGCATATGCACTTTGGTTCACAGCAACTTTTGGCACAAGAGCAAAGGGTACCTTGAAATGCTGGCTCTGGACTCAACTCTTTTCCCTCCCCACCATTTTGTTATGTTTTGTTGTGTTTTTAGGGGTTCTGGTTCTCCACAAAGGACTCGATTGTGTGCTTGTTGATAAACATGTTCTGGTGGCCTTGCTTGGGCCCCTTGTGTCCAGTTTCATGGCTGAGCCAGTAAAATCTGCCACTGATGTTCTCCTCTTCGCTGGAACATTTAACATGTGGTTTTTCCCATATTTAATATATGTTTTCTCCCATACATTGTTCTCCCCGCAATGCTCATGTCTCACCTTCATTCTGAGCAAACCTACAGGTCTGGGTGACTCTGGGGCTCTGCCTCGCTACCTTCAGGTGCTAATTAGTGGCGGTGTTCATACAGCTCTGTGAGGAGCAGCCCCCGGTGCACTTGGACTGCAGGAGGGCCATTAGCCAGCGCAGCATTCGATGGCTGCAAATCCCCCAGGGACTCGCCCCATGACCTGGGGCTGTGCAGCAGCAAGCCCCCAGCCACTGAACTGGTAACATTTAACAATTGCCCACCCAGGGTGATAGCCCCATGTTTCACAGGGTTGTAGCATCAATGGTTTTGCCTTTAATTTTGTTTTTTTGCTGAGCTTTTCGCATTCGGTTGCACAGGTAGCTGGACCCAGCAGCATGTGATGCAGTGATGCCAAATGCCTGTCGTGCTTTGCTGCATGATAAATACTGATGGTACCTCTACTGTGTTTTCTGTGTATTTCAGGAAAAAAGTGCCAGTTCAAATGTAAGACTTAAATCTAATAAAGAGATCCCAGGATTAGTACATCAACCCAGAGCAAAGTAAGTTCTATTTTTATTTTCAATTTAGTACAAATGTGTGCAAGATTAAAGAGGTATCTGTGAAATTCCCAGTTATTGCCAAGCACAAACCAATTGGTGGTTCCAACAGCCTGAAATCCATACCCACTTTAAATAAAACAGGTAAGAACAAGAACACAGCTGGGTAGCATTGGTGCTGACATCCCTGCAGTGTCTGTCCTGTCCTTTGCACGGCCAAGATGTGCCATACAGTGTTACTTCTCAGCTTTCCATGCAACTTAAGCATAAACAAAATTATATATGCACTAATGTTCCTAAATACTAGCAGTTAAGTTCCCAGGGAAATTTTTGCTATCTCTTGGCTTTGGTTATCAGATATACGGCCTCACAGACCCCTGGGATAAGTAACGGCAAACTTTTCCATTTAAAATAGTGAAGTTGTTTCTCTAAAATTAGGGTTGATGTGCAGCTGATGTCCAGTCCCTAGCCAGAGTTCTCTGCTGTGCCATGGCTGAGATCAGTACACATCGCATATGCCATGAAATATTTAGCTCCTGGGCTAGTAGTAGCTCCTTTCTTATCTAAATCACTGTTACATTTTAATCACTAATTGGGTTGAAAATAACATTACGTGGAGCCATATATCACATTCTTAACGAAGAGGTGATAAAGCTTTGCTGTTGAGTTTTGAACAATAGCAGAAGTGCTGTTCTTTATGCTCTGCCTTCAGGGCACTTATTAACTTTAACTTGCTGCATACCAAGTGTGCAGTTTCAAATCTGGAAACTTCAGTAATTTCCTAATGAACTGACAGTGTAATTCAGCCTCCTTTCAAACTGAAGAAATCAGTGCTTCAGTTATAATTGCAAAGAAGTTCACAGCAAGGAGGTGGAGGTAAAATCACCCTTCAGCAAAACTGTTTCATTACTGTCACCTGGTTCTTCCCAGCAGGGTCAGAGGTGCATTTAAGTGCTTTGATACCGAGGCACAGTCACCTTCCTCTGTGACTGCCAGTATAAATCAGCCTGGGCCAAAAGAGACATCCCTTTTCATGGGTCACCTTCTCTGATGCACCCAGGACAGAAGGATTGTGTGGGTTCAGGGACACCAGTCTATCCTCAGACTCCAACATTAAAAGTTCCTGTAGAAATCAGAACTGACTTTCATTCACCAAAAAGCACCTTCCTAAAAATAATAGTTTGGCAAAGGTAAATAATCCATAACATTCCCGCAAAAACAAAGGCAGCCTCTAGGAGAATTGCAGAATGTAACATTAGGTTGTTGGGTAAAACACTCACTGTTTGCCTAAGCCTCTGCTGTTTACGCAATACACTGTTGATGTGTACCAGTGGATTTCTCTTTGTGAAGTAGGTACATGTGTTTGAGTTCCTAATCACCAAGTCAGCAAATATCTGTTACCATGTGCACATTTGGTTTTTTAGGTTTATAATCTGAAAACCAGGAAAATTCGGATTGCAAAGGGGAAGGTAGCATTGTGTGGGAAAGGGCTACTTAGCTAAAAGAGCAGAAATAAACGCAGAAAAGATGTTTCTTGGAGGATCCTTCTTGCAGAATGGGTGTTATTTCAAAACAAAAAGTAAACAATGTACCAAAGTAAGATTGCAAGGGCTCTTCCCATACATAGGAAGATTCAGATTTCTGTATCTGGAGCCCTGGACTCAAAAAGCAACGTGTGTAGGGAGCCTGTAGACCAAGGCCAAGGAGCTGGTCCTCACTCTTCGTGATGGGTGCCAATACCTGCCGGATCCTCCTTCATCCCTGCACCATGCCTTGAGTTCTCAGGCACTTGCTCATCCTCAAAAACGACTGTGCTGACATCTTTGGCAAGCTACATGATAAAGTACGTTCCATTGAGGACTCCTGAGACATGTTAGAAACTCATGGAGTAACGGTGCCTGAAGCATAAAATGAAAGAAGTGGTATTTCATACCATTTTTATCCTGCTAGGAATCCCGTGTTTTCATAAAATGTGTTCCATCAGCCTGCCATGAAACATCTGAAAAAGCATTCACATGCCTTCTGATGTGCTTGTTAGAAAATAATGATTTCCACATTTCTATTTGGGGAAATTATTTTCTTCTGAAGGAATGCCCAAAAATTCTGCTTAGATTCAGTGGTTTTCTGTCTCGTATTCATTAACACTGTCAGTTCCCTGCTAACGTTTTTATAATTTCACACAGCTCCTCAAAACCAACACGCTGTCAGCATTTGTGTGTTGCATCTCTAAAATAGCACGGCAGTCTTACTGCCCAGCTAAACTTTTCAGAAGATCATGGCCTACCCCCAATGGGACTTCTGATGTATATGGCAGTGCAATGCTTTTTTTGCCTCCTCCATTTAATTTCCTTACAAATGATGGTTGATGTGAGTTGCAACAGTATCATCTCATTTCACTAGAAACTGGGTCTGTGCTGTTGCAAAGGGAAGAGTATGTTTCCAGTGCTCTCTCCATCTCATGAAGTGCTGTGCTATGAGGTGGGTCCTTTCCCTCCCTGCCATACTATTCAGGTCCTGCAGGGTCTCTGCTGGGGCTAAATTCCTGCATCTTATAAATTGGATATACCAGAGTCACACCTGGGCTCATGCTAACGCTGCCTTCTATCTGCTTAGAAGTCTTCGTGTTTCAGTTGTCAGACCAAGAAGTCGCTATGGGGCAGCAGCCTTTACCAACAGTGATTTCTGTCCAGTGGTAATGCTTGGAGGACTGAATTCTGCAATCTGCTGGGTTTTCTAAGTGTAGGGTTTTTTTTCAACTGCTTCTAAGAATTATTTTGTCATCTATAAAGTGAATGGGTCTCCAGGGCTGAGAGCTTGCCTACCCAGGGAGAGGTGGACTGCCTCTCTCTGAGTCACCCAAATGTGCAAGTGACAGGGTCTGCTGTCCCATACAAGCACTTTTTCCTTATCTCAGGTGGAGAGAAATGCAGATAGCTGGAGACAAAAACTCCAACAGCCACTGAAAGGTGAATTGTTCCGTCACCTGAATCAGCAGCTTTCGGTTTTAATGCAACTTCTGAGAACTTCTCTTGTGAACTGAGCCTCTGTTTATGTCCAGCATAGGTGTATCATTGTATATGTTCATCCCAGTATCAACTGAAGTATGAATGCTGAGCTTTGTAGGAAAGTGCAGTGAGCTGTTGGTTATCTGGGAGAAGTATTAACTCATTACAGCTGAAAGGATTGTACCAAAGGAGAGGAGTCTGAGATGGGACTTGAGCAAGGTGAACCAACTTTTAGTGTTGAAGAAAAGCTCCAAAAGCTGTGTGTCTTTGTGACCATTTGGCAGCACACTGTTATCACTGGCACCAGTGTCCCATCCTTCCTTTTTTCTCCTCCTTTTTCATCCTGCATTCAGTACCTGGCACTTCTCTGCAGACCCTATGTGTCAGGCACCCCAGACTCTCTTTGCTGCGTTTACAGAGGATGCTCCACCTTCACGTTGCAGAAGGGATATTGTTATTTCAGGCAAGAGGCTCTTATCACCGTGTAACTTAAACAGAGCAGACACACACCAAATTCCATCTGTTCGACATCCTTGTCTTTGTCTTTCTCATTCTTTCCTTTGTGTCTGACCTTCCTCTATTTTGGGATTGCAGGTCCCCCTTGGGGAAGGGTTTATTGTCTTATGCCACCATCAGCATTTTACAGACCGCCAGAAATAGTCTTTTGCAGCCAATCACTAATGCAAAACCCCATCACTAACCCCTAAACCTCTTGGTGCTGCAAAATTAATCAAAGTGAGTGATCTGCTGGGTCTGCAGGGTCACCCAGCCTGAGCTTGAAGCCATACGTGGGTACTTGAAGCAAGAGCCCAGATGTAGCAGTGCTCTTGTAACAGTGTCTCAGTGTAACAGTCTTCAAGAGCAAGGCTGTAATTTAGACCTTAATTTCACATTGCAGACATCTAATTTTGTGCTGTTGAAGCTGGTGGTCTGCAAAACCTTGTCTTGACACAAAGGGACAAGCCCAAGGAAAGGTAGCAGGCTGGTAAGTTCCTCTAATCAGCCTGACAAAGGGAATCGTTTTCTCTGGAAGCACACAGGTCCTAGTTACCGTCCCAAGTCTAGCACATGCACACAGAACCAAATGCAGTAATTTTTCTGTGGGCAAACCTTAGATTAACCCAAGAAAAGAGGAGGGGGGAGGGAAAGATTAAAAAACTGTCATTGTAGACCAAAGTATAAAGTGATTTATTTTCCACAGTGGTAAAAGCTTACAGTGAGGTTCCTTGACAGTTCTGGACTACAGCAGTGTCAGCATTTTAAATTGGGAAAAGTCCTGTTGGTACTGATACTCTGCCTTTGCCTTTCAGCATGCACATCTCTGAAAGCCAACAAGAATTCTTCAGAATGCTTGATGAAAAAATTGAAAAGGTAAGGAACAATACAGTAAACACCCATTTTCTTGCTTGCTGTCCCAGGCAGTGGACAGGCAGGTTTCCCAGCTCCATGGGGAGGAGAAGTGGACAGCATCCACGCCCTCCAGTACTTGAAGAGACCCTGGTCTGAGAACCCCCCATACCACTTGTTGTTTATAAAGTTCTAAGTCTTTTAAATTAAAATCCCAGCTTCTTTATTTATTGTTAAAGAATCGTTATACCACAACACAGATGAGAAACTGAGACTTTAGGAACTAAATGGGCTATTTGGATCATGTTGCCTGTCTACAACAGAAGTCAGAAGCGAGATTTCAACTCTTGTTTACACCTTGAGCTGATGTTGTACTCTTTATGCTTCATATTTTGGAGTGGCATACATTATTTAATATGTGGTATGAAATATTTGATTCCCCAGTTTGATTGAAGTAATCTGTACTACTGAATTGTAAAGAAGGAAGATTTTTACTTGGATGACTCTGAATTTCTGTCATTTTTGCCCACACTCCTGATCTTAGGAGCTGGAGTGCTACGATGGGTGAATCCCTTCTTTGTCTCAAGCAACTAATTTGTTATGCTACTCTAATAAAAAATACTTACAAAAGTAAAAAATGAGATTAAAAAGGAAGAATATGTGATGAGAAGTTGGGAGTTTGTAGATTCCTGAGAGAAGTATATACTAGTATAAATATATATACCAGTACTTCACAGGAGAAGGATTTTGCTTAACCTGTGACATCTCTATAAATGCACTTAAAAATAGAGTTTATGCATATCTGCAATAGAGCTACATCTCCTTTGAACAAATGCATTCACCCTATAAATACTTAGCTGCTTTTTCTGGACATCATCGCCTTCCATAATGTCAAACACAGAATGTCCAATGAAATGGATTTTCCAAAGATGTATCTTATCTACAGACCAGCCCATCTAATGACTGTATCTAATTATGAATTCAGGTTAGTTTTGTTTTCTAGATTTGTTTCAGGGCAGTAATACCATTAATTTGCCAGCTGCCACTTTGAGAAACAGTTGACCGTGTCTCCTTGCTGTTTGGATCATGCTCTCAGATCCTTGCAGGTGTTCTCCAGGGCTCTTATACTGATTTATTATATAGATCCAGAGACTGTCTATTAAGATGAAATACGTAGTTTTATCCATGAAAGAGACAAGACGGCTCCTTTGCATTTCAAGCTGCTGACATCTGATAAGATTGGCAGGGGTTAATGCACAGCTGAATACAGGATCTGCTGTGTATGGGATCCTCCTGTGCCTGAGAAAATTGTCTTCATAAGAGAAGTTTGCTTTCTAATTAGTCTTTGCCAGCAATATATTGTTTTTGTAGGTATCTGCCACAAGTACCAAAACGATCAGAAAATACTAGTTTTGTTTGATTTCTAAACAGCTTTCTGAGCCCCTTCTCCGTGGAAATGAAGGAGCAATGGAACAATTAAAAGAATTAAATCACTGAGCAACTCACTAATTTCAGCTGAAATAGGCAGCAGAAGGGGGGGCTGCCCGTGGTTGACGAGGGCCCAGACCATGTTGTAATGGTAATTTGGTAACCATGGCCATGTGTAGCACTATTCGTAACAGAGACACGCTGTCAGTCGCTGACTCTGCAGGCTACCTGTAGAAGCCTTACAGTCAGAGGGGAGATATCCCTCAACTTGCATTGAAAACCTGAGGGGTGCTGGGTCATTTAATAGGAATGAGTTACAACAATTGTAACACGCACAATAAGAATTATAAGGAAGATTAAAAGTGTGTTTTGGATTTAGCAAAGGGAAGCCTGGCTGAAATAAAATTTCTTTAATACAAGTCTAAATTCTAAAGGACATAAGCCGATGTTTTAGCAACTGAAAACAAAGTGTTTATGAGTCCTGGAGGTCAAAATATCCTTAAATAAATGATCTGAAGAACTTCTCTGAGACAAAGTTCATCGACTGTCGATACTCCACATGTGCTGTTTTCCTGGCTGCATGTATTGGAATGGCAAAGCTGAATAAACTTCTGCAAACGTAGCCCAAAGGTAAAAATCAGACTGTTACACCCAGTGCATGAAGCTTCTGCCTACCCAAATTCCATGTCAAAACACCGTGAAACATTCGTGGGGAGACATCTGTTAGTATCTCTGTTCGAGTGTCTATCCTTGAGAGAAGAGCTAGGACTGAACTTGCATTATGGAACTTTATGCAATTATGATAATTAAAGACATAGGATTTGTGGGGAAAAAAGAAATCCTAAAATAAAGCTTGATGCTGAATGCTGAGCTATGAATGCATTCAGCTACATTTTGGTTCTGCTTGAGTCAACTGGACTCTTTTCCGATAATCTTAGGGTCCCAGAATTTGAAAAAAAAAAAAAAAAAAGGAAGAAGGCCTGATGAGAAAGGCAGGATTATAAAGTGGGAGGATCGGAGTAGCTGGGTAGAGTTAAGGAGCTGACAGCACAGGAAACAGGAGTTCTGGAATTCATTTAATCCGCAACAGACCACGGAGCGCTTCTTGTGGCAGTGTTCCAGTGGCATAGCAACATGCATCCAAACAGGCAATTAAAAAGCTGAATGAATAAATGGCAAGGGGCTGTGCGGCTCTGTGTTTTCAGCCAACAGACATGGTGAAGGTCTGGTGGCAAATGGTGAACACAGCTTCTGCTTGACCAAAAGCTGGGTGTGCAAAGCATCGGGAGAGAAGAGGAGAAGGAATTAACAGGTCACCTGTGAGCAGCACCAGAGCTGGGACCTAGGGTGAAAGCTGGCTCACGTAGGAATGCTGCCAGCATCTGCCAGGAGCTGCATCAAGACCTCCTGGGGTTTTCATGTTGTCTGAAACTCATGTTGCTGTGAATGTAGTCATGGGCTTTACTTTCGGATATGGAATGGCACAGCCATACAAAGAGTTCAGGAAGAAAACAAAGCAGGGACAGGCAGTGGCAAGGAGGCAGCTTATCTGGGGACAGCTTTATTGTCATTTTTTGAAAATTTGGCTTGCCCGAAATCACATTCCAGCAGAGGACAACAGCAAGGCAAGAGCCTCCCTGATTAAGTGGGAAAGGTAAGGATCAGAAGTAGAAGTGGTTCACATGAGCTGAGCCATCAAGGCACAGCTGCCGCACCAGAGACCCGAGGAGGTGCAGAGCAAAAGCCACAGCAGCCACTGGACCTTCTCCTCCTTTTCTTCCTTCTCCTCAGAGAGGGGAGAGCAGAGGGTGAAACATTTGCCCTGGTTTTGCAGGAAAGAAGTGTAAGGACTTTTTTTTTTAAATTACCTAAATTCACACACTTGGCTTAAGATGCTTAAGGTCATCCTCCAAAAGTGGAAGTTGGATTGTGGAACTGCAGGGGAGGAAGACTGGGTTTCTCAGGAATTACCTGGACTTGAATGCATATGCTGCTATCTCATCTTCCTTGACATAGTTCATTTACACCCCGAATCATTAAAACTTCTTTAATGGCCTGTACTAGTTAGAATGATGGCCCATCCATCCTAGTTGTTAGCTGGTGTTCAGGGTAGGAAGAGAAATTGCCAAAGGGCTCATGTGGGTTTGTGCACTGCCCAACCACAATGTTGCTGCTTTTCGGGGGGCTGTTGCCTTCCCCCATTTCTTCTCATCCTTCCTACTACGCAGCTGCTCCCCCAGAAGCACACCATCCCTTAGGTCTGCACTCAGGTGCTACCTGTGCCCTTTGTTTCTGCTGCAGAACTCATCTCCCAGCTCCTTCTTGGTCTCTGTTTTGGTTTCTCCAGAGGGCCTTTGCAGCTTTGCAGGCCAGCTCACCGTTTCGAGTCGTTTCACCACCCCACCACAGTAATTTCCCACCTCAAGCACAGCAGACCTCTAATTGATCATGGGTGCCAACACTCCAGGCATCATCAACTCCAGCATCCTCCAAAACAATGGGGCCAGGAAGGCAAAAATGGATATTTTTTTACATGTTTTGCTGGACTGGGGCCACAGTGCTCAGCAGGACCAAAGCGCTGCCAGGCAGGAGCTGGAGGCCTCTCCTGGCTTTCTTCTGAGCAACACCAAGAGGAGTCCCTGCACATCACATCGACAGTGCAACAACAGAAGGCGGCAGCATCTAGATGCTTCCTGCTTCCTCTGATCTTCTTAGGAACACAGACTTCATTGTTAATGATAAAAACAAACAAACAAACAAATAAAAACTAGGGAATAAGCTTTAGACAAAAACTTTTACCCTAAAAACAAAATAGAAGTACTCTTAAGACAAAACCCACACGCAAGTATAATCGCTGATTCTGCATGCAAGCTGCCAGGCTGCCTTGCCCTCACTCTGGTGGTGTTCTTGGCTGCTATAAACCAAAAATGCCTTTTTTTTCCACTTGGTTTTTAAGCAGAGCTTTGCTCCACCTCAAGCACAGCAATTGGGGTGGCTGCAGGAGCTGTTTTGGTTCCTCCGTCCTGCAACGAGGCCTCTGCCTTCCCACCAGCTGGTGCATCAGCTGCAGGCCGGCCTGGCGCCTGCCTGCTGTGCTGGAGCAAGTGAAACGTGCCAACGGCAGCCCTGAAGCATTTCCCTGTGAAAAAATGCAATTTTAGTCTGTAGCATAGCACAGCGGGGTGGGGGATGGGGGGAGCTCTCCGTCCTGCCTTCGGACACTGTGGTAACGTGGACGCTGAGTTAGGTGGTTGGGCCCCTCCGTGCAGAGCCTGGTGGGCGCCGGGCCTGCACCTCACACCTCAGGAAGGCTCAGGAGGCGCCGCTGGTGTTTCAACCCGTGTTTTCCTCCCCTCCCCTGTTGGACTGTGCCACGCTGCCCACATGCGTTAGGTGGAAGGAGCTGGCTGGCGGCAGCCCAGCGACCACTGAGGGACACGGCCTTGAAGGCCACCTCCTAGATGTCGACATGGCTCCTTCCCCAGGGGTGCAGAAACGGGACTGGAGCACCTGGTGGCAGCAGCCTGGCTCTTGCCAGCACCTGAGGAGAGGCAGCATCTCTGCGCCACGGCGGGGCCTTGCTCAGCACCCTGGGCTTCAGCTTCTTTCCTTCCTTGTCTGGAGCAGCATGCTCCGTTGTCAGGTATTGAACCAGAGAGCAGAACAGCGGGAGGAATGGGAAGGAAGAAAAGGAAGAATTAAAAGTATGAGATTTACAGTGACAGAAAGGGAGTGACTTCCTGTCCTGGTTTTGTGCAGATCTTCCAGAAATGGTTGTAGGAGTTCCGCAAACTCCATTGCCTGTTTTTCAGTTTCTCTCTACCTCTGAACTTAAGTGTCCTTGTTTCACAGACCTGAAGTACATTATTTGTAACTATTATTTGCTATTTGTATCTTCAGTTAGTGATTTACAAAATACCTGGCTTTTTTCCTTCCAGGGTCGTGATTATTGTTCAGAAGAGGAAGATGTCACATAGTGCCAATTCTGCCAATCAAACCAGGAATACTACTGTGTAAATAGATTACAACCCAGTTGACACCTTTTGGAAGTCTTCTAGAGCAAACAGCACTACATAACAGAAGAAGATCATTTCCACATTATATGCTCCATTCAGTTACAGTGTTTCTTAATGAACAGATGAGGAATATTGCTAAGAACTCGTAAGGAACTGTTTTTGTTGCTGCTAGTTAAAACTTGTTGCAACTTTTCACTTTCTCTGTGTCCAGATACGCAGCAAATCCTTAAAGTTAATCTGAAAGACATTGTTGATTTTATTAAGGCTTCTGGCCTGTTTTCTATCTAATAAGGTAGTGTTATACAAAGCTTCCATAAGTGAACATTCAAGCATCTGAGAACACCCTACAGCTGTCTGTCAGTCCGTGTACGGGCTGGAGTGCTTATTAATGCTGGTGATTTCAAGCTTTGGAGATGGGATGTTTTGCCATGGCAGGCCTTGTTTCTCTGCTCAGAAGAAAGCTGAGAAACTATTATCCATTAAAAGCATGTTATCACTGAAATACTGGAAGTGATACAGGAGCGGGAATTTGTATTTTAAGAGGAAAAGAGTTTCATTTAATAGGTATCTTAATCAAGGACTAAGCTTGCAGTATTGGCTTTGCTGAGCACGAATGGGAGTGTGATCACAATCATTTTGAATCTCTTTTTTTCTAAGAAAATAAACATTTTACTGTTTTTATGTATTCTTGTCTTTTACCATTCATGCAACACAATGTTCTAAGAGCCTGGGAACAGGGAAGGCGAAACCAACCCTTCACATTTCTGACTCTGTGGATCTGATCTTTTAAAGCAGCTCTGTGTCAATTGGGGGTGTCTGTTGCATGTCCTGTAGAGTTTATTTTTCCATATTATACAGAGAGGATGCTATCTTCTCAAAAGCAGATGTAATATTTTTAACAAATACTGTCATGAGTAAAAAAAAAAAAAAAAAAAAAAAAAAACACTCAAGGAAAAAAGACACTTTTTGTATTTATTCTTCAAGAAGAGATTGTTACCTGTGCTGATGTTTATTCTCCACACTATGATACCATGTGAGTGCCAGGTCTGCCCTGCATCCCAAGCAGTGAATCTTCAGGATGTAGGTTTCAGTAGTGTGTTGATGTCAGTGCACTGTGTGGGACTGTGTATGTCAAACAGACCATGAGACTGAATTTACAGTGTCATTTCTGATGTGACAGATGTCAGCTTTGGGCACGCAATCCAAAACCCTTTAAAGTACTCCATTTTTCACTGGCCTAGTTCTCAGGATCTTTTGCAAACCAGATTCTCTTAAAGTTTTTCAACTGAGTCCCTCAAAGATCCCTTCTGACTTCTGAAAATCTCAAAATATTAGGGAGTTTCGTCTCTAAAGAGATTTCCTCCATCACTCACTCTGAGTGGGCTTGGGCAGTCCACAGCAAAAGATTTTGTGTGAGTTCCCCCCGGCAATGCCATTAGTGCTGTCCCACACCTAGAGCCTGTCAAAAACCATAGTTTGCTTATGCTTCTTTCCCCACACGGGGCTTTCCTTTTGCTTTTGGCCACAGATGAGGCAGCGTGGTAGGGAGGACATGTCAACCTCAGTTTGAGCTGAGTGTTCCCTCAGAGGACTGGGACAACTCAAGTGCTCCGTAGTGTCAGTAGTTTTCCATGTAGATGCTCAGCATCAGGGTCCTCACTGGCAGATTTCACCACATGCATCTTTAACTTGTTAATGGTCAAAGATTGCTGGCCAGACCCTGAATCTTTGCTCCATTTTGGCAGCAGCTTTGGCAGTGCAGCTTTCCCAGAGATCTTGACCTCAGTGGAGGTGATTTTTCACTGCCTTCCTCCCATCAAATCATCCTTAGGTAGGGCTCCTGGGGTCTTGGTGCTATAGAGCCATTTTACCTGTTAAGCCAATGCTATCTACTGAGCCGTGTGAACGCAAGTGTATGTGCAGCAAGAAGGCCCTGTGGTGGTGCGATGGGGGGAGACGAGGCGTAGGGGTGTTTTAGAGAGTCAGGCTGTTCGCTTTGCTGTTGGGGAGGAGACCTGGAGGTCAAACATTACCTGAGAAGTTGGGTAGGTACAGAGTGAAAACATTTCATATATGTTATTGTGCTGCTTCAGGCAGAGTGTTCAGTGAAGGGAGCTGAATCCCAGCTCAGGGAAACTTTAAAATGTGGAATATGGTAAAATAAAAGTCAGATGTAGAAGTACCAGAGTGAGGTCAGAGGAGAGCTCCTAAGATGATCAGAGGCCTGGAGCACCTGTTGTACGAGGGCAGGCTGAGAGAGCTGGGCCTGTTTAGCCTGGACAAGAGAAGGCTGAGGGGAGACCTCATTAATGTATGTAAATACCTGAGGGGAAGGCGTTGAGAGAACGGAACCAGTCCCTTTTCAGTTGTGCCCAGTGACAGGACGAGAGGCAATGGGCACAAATTGAAACATAGGAGGTTCAATATGAGGGGGCACTTCTTTACTGTGAGGGGGGTGACAGAGCGGAGAGGAGGGTTGTGCAGTCTCCTTCTCCAGGTACTCAACCCCGCCCCCCCCCCCCGATGCCATCCTGCTCAGTGTGCTCTAGGTGATCCTGCTCTGCAGGTGGATGGACTAGCTGATCTGCAGAGGTCCCTTCCAACCTTGGCCATTCTGTGATTCTGTGGTAGATTTTTTTTTTAAAAGTCCTCTTTTTTTTTTTTTTTTTTATTATTATTAAAAAAAATGGTGCATACCTCTACCCACCAAACAGGTACATGCTCTCTTTGACCTTGATATTGGCACAGTCATCATCAGCATTTTCCTCTTCTTCAGCATCATCAGAAACAAGCATGGAACTGGGAACCTGTCACGTGCTTTGTAAAGGCCAGCACAAGATACCCACATGGATGCACTCCCTGCATCCCTGGCAGGGATGTGAATGCTGGCAGAATCTTTTAGGGACTAAAAACCTGTCTTTTTTTTTTTTTTTTTTTAAAGGGTTGCCAGTGCTGTCAAAGACAACACCCTTGGAGCATGGCCATTCAACGTGGTGGGGCTGGGATGATGCATCCTACCGTGTGGGAGACCCCCACTGATGAGCTTCACCCCAATTGCTGAAAAGCTATGTGAATGTGCAAGCTCTCTCTAGGGCTGCAAGCTCCAAAGCTAAGCCTGTATCAGGCGGCTGCTGCTCGTGGGCTGCTACATGGCAAAGTGCTGCCCTGCAATCCTGAATGCTTTCTGCTCAAATCAGGCAAAGAAGGAGACTCAAGCTTTCATTTCAGGATTTGAAGAGAGCAGCACCTCACCTTAATGCCCTGCTGGAGAGGTGGCTTTTCCTGACAGGCATTAGCTCAGCACGCAGTGTGGGTGGTGCACGCTGCCCTGCAGGCACAGGGCTGAGGCACCAAGCTCCCTGCATTGCTGCGGGCTCCCCCCCAGCCTTCAGAAGTCAGGGAATGTGTTCCTTCTTTCTCTACAAATAATAATAATAATCCTGAGACAAAAAGTTCTCAAGTGCTGCAAGAAACTAGAAAGATAGGTGTGGGAACAGAGAGATATTCTCAGGTTTTGGCATTCTGAGTTTGTGTCTATTAATAAACCCCCAGAGTGAGTCATATGGAGACGTATTTATTCACTGAGTCGGAGAGAGCTGCTACCCAAAATAGCAGCTATGTAATTTTTTATGATGCTGTAATGCCGGTGCAGTGAAGATTGACATCATTTAACAGAGATGCTCTCTGGCTGGCAATCAGCTTGCCTGTGTCGAGCCTTAAAATAAACATGAGAGCCACGTGCTTCATTACATAAAACAGCCGTGGAAGCCATCACTTGTGGGAAATGCCTTTTTCACATTTCCTGCAGATCCTGTTCCTTTTTTTTCCTTTATGCCTTGCTAAGACTTGTTCACAAATTTTCTTTGGAAGGTGAGGAGCAGAGAAAGTGGCTTTTGCTATGTAAGCAGGGATGGTGCACGTACATAAACCATCAACATTTACTCCATCATTGCCACGGAAGAGGTCCATAGAGGAAATCGTTAAACACATCAAGTTCAGCACGTCCATCTCTGAATTTCTCAGTGTTTCATCTCTGCTGGAGCACAAACCCCAGCACTCATAGCCTGGAGCAAAACAAAGGTGGTGGCTGAACCCAGTAAAGGTCCCGAAAGCAGAGAAATAGCTGGGTATGGTTTTTAAGGAACGGTGACACCGTTTTTCTGCATTTCCTCTCATTCTCGGACTTGCACTGCTGCCCTCAGGTCTGTCCAGGTTTTGCAGCCAGTGGGGCCCTGAAGGGGATCGGGATGGTCCTGGTGCTGCCCAGCTGCAGGGGCTGGTGCTCAGCACCCATCCCTCCTCCCCTGCACCTGTTAAAGATGGACTTGATTGCTAAAGATGGACTCACATGGTGTTGGTGTTTTAAAGTCCCAGGCAAATGGTACCTTATAGGTACCATGCCTGCTAGAAATGTTGATTAATACTATCTTTTTATGGAGCACTTAGAAAGAAAGCAGGACTCCTAATCCAGGCACCTTCTGGCCACTGTGAATGATGTTTTTTTAGGATGAGCAGTAGCTATGAATTTTTTGGCAGAGCCACCAAGTTCCCCCAGAGCTGGGTGATGTGAAAAGTTGAAATGTAAAAATTGGTTGGCAACACTGAATCGCTCGTGCCTGAGAAAGTCCCATGAGAAGCCAATTACAAACCTGCACATTACATCCCATCAGTACAACCACTGCCATAAAGTAATTATTAAAGCTGATTTTAATCTGGGGTGTGCAGGAGGGATATCAGCATCACTTCACAGCTCTAGCCTCACCCCTGCTACATTTTCTCATACTTAGCACACATCAGAAGAGAGACTAGCACTGGTCATGTCATTTCATTAAGTAGGCAATAAGTTGCTTCAAAGAATGGGATTGTGAAAAGCCTTCCTCATGGCTTTCTCTGCCTCTGCACACCTATGCCCTTGGTGTGCTGACTCCAAATACCCCTGTGCTGTCCCCATCGTAGCATTTCCTGTGCACCCACGACCAGCCCTGGAAAGGCAACTCGTCACTTTACAAACCAATTTCCCTTAATTCCCCTCATTCATTGGTTTTCAGACCCTTTCTCCTTCTACACTTACCTTCCTCCAGTGCAGGCTTCTCCCCACCTCTTTCTCCATGCAGCCCTGCCATGTGTGCCCCCAAGGAGGATAACTGTGGGACAAGGGGAATTAAACCAAAACGCTTTTTGAACACCCTGCTCTAAGGAGCCTTCAAGGGATGAGGAAGGCAGAAGGTGCCTTGCTCTGAAACACTCTGAGGCCTGAAGTCCTGATGCAAAGCCTCACAGGAGCAGAGGTCATAGAATCATAGAACATCCTGAGTTGGGCCCAACTCCTGGCACCACACAGGTCCACCCAAGAATTCAGACCATATGACTGAGAGCATAGTCCAAACCCTTCTTAAACTCCAACAGGCTTGGTGCAGTGACTGGGGAGTCTGTTCCAGTGTGTGACTACCTCCTTAGTGAAGAAACTCTCCCTGATATCCAGCCTGAACCTCCCCTGTTCACAGCTTGATTCCATTCCCTTGGGTCCTGTCACTGGTCACTAAATAGAAGAGATCAGCGCCTGCCCCTCTCTTCCCCCTCATGACAAAGCTGTAGGCCAACATGAGGTCTCCCCTCAGCCTCCTCTTCTCCAGGCTGAACAGGCCAAGTGACCTCAGCCGCTCCTCATGAAGGGCCCTCTAGGCCCTTCACTACCTTCACCATCCTATGGACCCTGAGGTGGCACAGAACAGCAATGGAAAAATCTCTCCTTTGAGACTTACCAGACCAGACCAGACCCTCTAAACAACAAATTTAAAGTATAGAAGTTGATGTATCATTTATACATAACAGTGCCATGGACCTGTCCCTGTGCTTGGCCACCCTCATGACACACCAGCCCCTTTCCTAGTTCCTGGCAGGGTGAGGCGCCTGCTACTTCCTCCATCCCACCCTCCCTATGCCCCATCTGGCCCTGTCCATGGCAGGAGTCAGCACCAGCCCCTCATTAAGGGGCATTATTAATGAAGAACCCAAGCAGTAATGGTGTCCCTACCACAGGCTTTGCTAAAAAGGATAATTAAAAAAAATCAAGGTAAACACAGCTGGCCAGGCCATTCAGAAGCTAGCGTCATTGGGAACAGCTTGACCAGAATATTTACATTTTATTAAATCTTTACAATCAGCAATTATAATAAGTACACAATTATGTACACAGATTATATACACTTTAGCCCAGACTTTTACATCACAGTACATAGTTGCCCTTAGAAATATTGTATACATTTACCACCAGACAGTAAAACCCAACAATAGTGTTACAGCACCTGTTATTAGACATCTTTCGTAAGAAAATATACGGCTGTAAATTGGGCTGGCTAAAAAAAAATCTTATAAAATCTGAACATACAATATTTCATTCACAGAATGTTGTTTTTGTTTGTTTTTTTTCCTATGTTCTGAGTGATGCCTTTTGCATAAGATGGCCCATTTTCAACTTCTCAACATACTCATGACTGATGCTAACGTCTTCGGGTATGCTGGCAGGAGGAGGAGAAACAAAGCTGGGCTTGTTTTAGAACTTCATTAACAAACAATAAATGTAAACAATTGAGAATATTCCTCTAATATCAAATGAGAAATTAATTGGCTAATCTGAATTACATGGCATGGAGCAAGTGCTAGTTCCATCTCAGATTCCTGAATTCTTCAGTATTCAATACTATACAAATTAACGTACAATACCAGACAAATAATCCATTAGTGATGCACAAACAATATTCCACATGGAGCAGAATTAAAAATTTGGAAAGAACACTTACTTCCCATCTCCAAAAGATTAAAAAAAGATTAATACATTCTTTTTGCTTTTTAAGATGACAGTGACAGGAAATTGAACTACTTTCAGCATGATACGAAAAGGTTTAATACAGCTTATTTCCTCATAGGGAAACAAAGTAAAAATAACCTGAATAAAACTGTCCCCCATCCCCCCCCCGTTTACTCCTCTTTCCCAAAAGGCCAACAACTTTACCCAATTCAGTTCTGTAAACCAAGCATGAACCCCACCTGTGAAACATGGCTATGGCTCTCATGATCATTTCCAAGTGAAACTAAAACGAACTTAAACAACAATGATGAAAATCAATCCAGAAGGAAGGGGGCAACAGTTATCTGAGGTAGGCCACCACCAAACCCATGCTTCAAACCCATACTGAGCTCCAGGATTACGCAGAATCCCTTGAAACAAGAGATGTTTCCTTCCTTAACTGCTTCATCCACATCTGTGATTAACCACAAGCTTGTGGTGGCAAGGAGAAGTTAATCTTTTAGTAAAATTTTACAACTACACCTAAATTTACTGCAGGTTAAAAAAAAAGAGTAAGCTTCAGTTGCAATATTGGCAGTCTTAACATAATGACTGGAGGACCTCTATGCCTATGAAAAATAATTTTATTTTCACCAAAATAACTAATGAGGACATAGTCCACACCGAAGAGCACGAGAGCTCAAGTGCTCCTTTGTGGCACCAAGCACTGGCAGACCGAAGGAGGACCGGCACCAGGTGGTCTCGGTGCCACAGCCGCCTGCCCCGGGCCATGAGGTGTCAAGCCCCAGCACTGCCAGGGGAGCGCTGCGTCTGGCACAGAGCGGGGCTCTGAGTAACAAAGGACACTTAACAGGCTCCCATGGTCAAACTCCCTATATGAAGATACCCACATAAAGAAAAAAAAAAAAACAACAAAACCTCAAAAACCTCAGCTGCTGCAAGCCCTGCTCACTCAGTTCAAGCCTCCATACAGTTCGCTGTGCAAAGGAATAACTACATTTGAAAGCTAATTTATTTTAAAAGGACACTTATTCACTACTCTGCTACTGCTTCATTTCCTCCTCCAAATTACCTCCTACTCTAGTAATTTAAAGTTATTGTTCAATTTACAGATAGTATTCCAGCTGACTGTCATGCTCTCAAAAGGTGCCTGTGCATCTCGAACCTGTTGAAAGCAAGTGTCAAGTATACATGTATACAACATTTGCCTGGGATTTCTCCATTCATACTGTACACGAGTATACATAAATAAATACAGTATGGCTGTACTAATTAACAGTTGCATATTCAGCACGTGTAATTTCACCAACTAAATGAAAGGCGCACTTCAGATTTGGGCATTTTAAAAAAAATCCATTGTAAAGGTTAATATAAACTTCATTTCTAGCCTGGTGCAGCATACAGGCAGTGTTAATTTATTCTTTGATATAAAACAATTCTTTGAGCCATGATTTTCTAACAAGCAGTTTATCTAAATCAACTTAATTAGCTTTTGGCAGTTTCTTTGGACGCAGTCAAAACATCTCAGCTGTTTAAGCATCCCCATTTTTATTTAAATAATGCTTTTCATAATAGGGCTAACAAATTAAGACCCACACTTATCTGTAACAAACTCCCAAAGCCCAGAGTAACACACCAGTCATTCTCACAATTCACACCACTGTACTTTGAACTATGGACCCAACAGCCAGAACTGTTGCACTTCACCACTGGTACTGGCCTCATTGCCTTAAGTATCACACACATCGAAGTTGCATATAAAAATGACAATGAAGTCAAGCTGTTAGAATAAAAACTGTAGAAAAAAAGGAAGTTTTTGTTATAGCTGATCTAATTCTGTTTAGTATCCTTTCAGAGACTATTGCCAGTTTAAACTGTCTCAGGGTAGATTGGTTTTTTCAACCTGGAAGGCCAAAGGAAATGCCTGTACTCAAACATCTGCCCCATCCACCTTACCTCCACCTCAAACATAGCTTTTTTCATAGCACACTTCGAACCCTTACCTGTTAGATCCCAATGAGCAGGGCTGTCTTTGTTTCCCTGATGGAACCTGCTCACAAAGCACACACTGCCTTCAGTTTATAGTTTCGATAGTTGAGAGTAAAGCAGAAGGAAAAACTCCCAAGTCATCTTGGTCATTCTTCATGGTAACAGATGGAAGGAGCGATGAGCAACACTACTGTGTCTCAGTATGATATGTCAGAACAAAATCAAACTGCTTCTACCAGTGTCTTAAAGATAACAACCAGAAATGATTTCACCCGCTGCTAGCGATGAAGGCTTTCAACTGAGTAGAGATCAGTGGAACCGCACCTTCACTCCAACCAGAACAGCAGCTGGCCTATGGCAAGTGCTCCTGCCCAAACCGTTACTGTGGTATGTTAGCCCCACTGCATTTAACTTTTGCTTTCCAGAGGCCAAAGAGGCCATTCCTTGGCACCTGGAAGGCAGAAGATGGGCTCATTCCCTGACGAGCCTCCCAGGGTAACAGCACCACGCAGTGGAGCCATACGAATGCTTCAATTGCACATTCCCATTTTTAAACAGGAAAAAAATCAAAACAAAAGAGTGTGTGCTGGATTTATACGATAATTTCCAGGTGACACCTGGTTGCTCATCACAATACTGAATGTTTTCTAGTTCTCAAATATCAGGGCCTCATTTCTACCCAAAGAGTTCTCCATTTGTTTACTAACAAGTCATTATTACAAGTCATAGTTCATCCTTTTCCATCATTTCAAATGCTTCTATATCTTCATTCCAGTCTGCTAATATGGATTCCATAGGTTGGACTTTATTATCCCAGTTAACTTTGGAGTTTGACTCTGTCTCGGTTTTTTGTTCCTGAGGCTGGTTATCCCCTTGCATACATGCTGGCTCTGGAGTACTAGCCTCATCAGTTCCAGGGGTGTAGGAGTCCTGATCTGAAATGGAAACGCTGTCACTGTCTGCATGAGCAGGAGACAAAGAATCAGGGTCAGTAACATCGGAGCTTTCTCCTTCCGGTTCCTCACTGACCGCTACAACATCCTGAGATGCTGAAGAAGCTTCTTCAGAATTTTGTTTATGTGAATCGTTTTCAGACAGTTTCTGGTCCATATTCTCCATTTCCAAGTCTTTGAGAGGGGAAGAGAAAGAAAAAGGTATTTTGAAAGAAATAGAAAGGTAGCATTTTATCATATAATTCAAAAGCAAGATCACTTCCTTTGACTTTATTACTTAAGGAAGCGCAAATGTTCAGTTGATATGAAAACTTAATGCTACTAAGGAATGTATTTTAAAGAGGGAAGTGAGGGAAAATATTTAATCATTAGAAAGGGCAAGCAGTCTAGTTTTGGTTTCCAAAACCTGAATTGTGATTTCTGGGCCAGTGCTCGTTGCCTAGACTAGCACTTCGTAGTTCCCTTTCAGACTTCAGAAAACACTTCAGCATCTACTGTGTGCGCTGAACTTTAATGATGGGTTTTAAAGCACTCCCAGATCCACCATGATGCCACACGTGAGGAATTGGGAGATGCAGAGTTATATCAGCTTACTAACCTATGAATTAAAGAGAGTCGAAGCCTCCCTCCTCATAGTTCCACTCAAAACACTTGTGTCTAGCACTGATTTAGCTTATAAATTTCCAGCAGCTGTCTGAATTTAACCACACAAATTTCTTGTAACTAGTGTACAAGATGCTATTGTTTCAAGACCTCTAGGGAGTTTAACTGTATATGCCATTTTTAATACAGGATACTTACTGCTATCAATAATGTAGTTTGGAATCGTTTTACCTTTAAAGATTGTTGCTGGGATTCCAAATGAAAGCACAAAGAGGAGGGAAGAAACACACATGCATTACAAATTCTCAAATGCAGAACTATCTTCTGTGTTTATAGTTTGTTAGACCAACTTAACCATATTTACTGACAAGAAGAATTTATAAGCAGCCATGAAAAAATAGTATTGGAGCTTTAAGAATATCACCTTTGCAAATGGGCAGAAAATAAATGCTGTCACTGGTTTACTAGATACACTAACTCTTCACATACTCTGCTCAGATAAAGCAATACTACCAGGAAAGCTTGCAAAAAGGAAAACCTAGAAATTTCTGCCGTACACAAATGTTTTAATTTGATAAGTACTAGCTTGCAATTTTATCGTATTATAAATGGAAAAACTGAAAAGCACCTGAGGTCAGCAACCTTATTTCTTTCACATGATAACCACTTTTCCTTTGACAGGCAAAGCAGTTATAATAGCTGTCTTTCCTTTTGGGTACCAAGAATGTCACTGGGGAGCTACACTTACAATGTAGGACACTGAAAACGCTTGTGCTATTTCTGATGCTACTTCAAAGCATATCATGACAAAAAGGGTTCAAAAGGAATCCAAAGGACTGTATTGTCTCATTATTGTCTCATCAGTTAAACTGACATCTAACTTACGAACAGCATTTCTGGATGTTAATGTTAACTTGGGGGTGCAGGGAGGGAGGCTCTCAAATAATGGCTTTCATATAATAAAACTAATACTAAGGTCAAGCAGAAAACTAACATTACCAAATAACCTTTGCGCCTTTAATATTGCACCTCTGGGTAGCAACAGAAATCACTCTTGGACATTTCACATCATGCCATAGCACAGATAGAAGTTACTCCTGTATAAAAACACCTTTCAACTTACCTCTGTCTTTTGCTTTGTCAGAAAGGAGCACCTCCACTGCCTCGTATTCCCGGATTGCATCCAGTATAATATTTCCTTCCTTGTTGAAGAGGAAGAGCATGGGGATTGTGATATCATCTGTATTCTTTCCATCACCAGCCATTTGGAAGAGAGGAGCTGTGTCACTGCTGCTTCCTTCATTGTCATCTAGCCAGACACACAAAAGAAAAAGCTAGCAAACCATTCTGTTAGATAAACAGACTACAACTTCAAACTTCAGCAGACTTTTTGAGCAGCTTTCTACCGTCCAGTCAGTTAAGGACTGCTTGCAGATAATAGTAAATCAGGTGCAAAAAGAAAAAAAACTTGTGTACTTGTACACCTTACAATTTTTTCATTTACTTTGTACCTTAAGTCTGCCTCAATAGTTACTAGATAGCATTATTCCAATACTCAGTGATCCTTAAAATAACAACTTTACTCTGTAAAACCAGAGACAAATCACCCACCACGCTTTGTTTGGTTACACTTCATGCACAGACATACATAAGCAAAATGTTTCTTTGTCTTCTGAAAGTATAACTTGTGTTAGAATACCATCATTTCAGTGAGCTTAGCAGCTTCTTGTCAGCTTTCCAATATAATCAAATCCGTAAAATACAGGTTACATTTATACAAGTGAATTAAAATCTTATTTACCAATAACAATGCCTCCTATTGCTCCAGCTTTTTGAATGTTTCGTGCTTTTTCAGCAAACATACATTGGCCTCTTTGCATCAAGGCAATTTTTTCTTTCACTGCCTCAGGATTAGTGATCTCCGAACAACCATTATATGGCTTAATCGTCACAACAAATCCTCTCGTCTGTGTGGAAAAACAAAACCAAAACCAAAGCAAGAGAGAATTAGAGCAGTATGTTCAAGCTTGCATAAGATTCCCGAGCATTTTAGTTTTGTTTCTATCAGTTAATATAATGCATTTAGTATCTTCTGTCAGCACAGGTAATCTTTACACCCTGGACCTTGAACCAGCAAAGAATTACCATGTGAAAACCTAATTCTTCTATTCATATTGTGTCTGTACCAGTAAACAGGTCTCTGGAAAATTATCCTCTGTGAACTGGCAGTCTAGGACTTAACTGTTGGGCTGTATCTTGCCCAAAGTCATGCAGTTTTCCTGCTGCTTCTAATATGAACCACTGCCTCTGATATTTTCTTCTTCCATCTAGATACAGGCCTTTATGAAAGCTTACAAACAATAGCCAACTCTAAAAGGGCTTCTGTGAATTCACGGCTGACATAGTAGGAAAACCATCCCTTATCACTGAACACCTCTTGAGAAATGCACCGTGAATTATATGAATTTGTTTCAAAGTCACTATGTATGTATATTAAGTTCTCAGTCATGACTGATGGCTCAAGATCAGAGCATGGGCTACAGACCAATAAGCCACTCATCTAAGAAGACTGTGTTCTGTCTTGCCGCACCCTTGTCATTTTAACCCCTGTAATTAATTAATCACACTACCTAGCTACCCTGAAACAGTATCAATATTACAAAATTTAGGCTTCAGCAATATGGAAAGTAACAGAAAGCTAAGAACAGATCCCAGATACATCTTACACACCCCTGATTTGTGTTTGGATAAATCCATCCCAAATTGCGCTGGTCCTGCAGTCAAGACCACCCTGCCAAAGAATGGATGGGAAACAATCTGAACAGCACGAGGAGGTAGCTGTTGCTCTTTCTGTTGCTGACTGGAGAGTTCAATCATTTCCTGCATGAACCGTAAGCCATCTTCAGCATCAAGTGAACTTGCTGCCTAGAGAGTAAAGAAATAATAAAGTTTCATCTTTAATGTTTGACAAACTTGGAGAAAAAAATGAAGTTAGCTTTGCTTGGGCCACCATTTACATCACATACATTAGTACTTTAATGGTTCAGAATAATGCTCTGTTTTTATATCAGTTTCCTCACAAAACAATACTGTTGGCAAACATTCAATGTTACAAAGATTGTAAGATACAGAGTGGACTGCTCTTGGCACTCATTCACCATTTCAAAAGCGGAATTTAACTTTTTAGCAATTTCACCACACTGTAGACTAAAAATCTGTAAATAATTAGAACTCCTAAATGAATAGAAATATCTCACATTGAGAACTTCGTATTTTCAGATGAGACCCTATTAACTGCATTACTTGGACATGAAAAGCCTCTATCTAATTTAATGGAAGATTAGTTAAAAGTGTTACTGACAAAATACTGACAACATATAAGCTGCTAAATACAGCTGCACATCCACCTCATGCGCTCCCTCCCCTCTCCAGTCACTCTGTCCCTCCTGAACCTCAAAATGCTAAATATCATAACTAGTACAATTTTACTAGAAGTTTTCAAAAGAGGTACTGTTGGGTCTTACTTGCACTGCATGCTGTACTAATTGTACTCTTCCATCTTTGAGATGAATCAAACTGACTCCCATCTTCTTCAGTATCTCCAAATGCTCAGGGTTACTGGCCATGAAATCTCTGGCTCTCAATGGTGGTTTTGGTCCACTTCCCAAACTCTCCTCTCTGACAAAAGATATTAGAAATCAAAGCTTTATAAAAAGAAAAAAGATTATTCTTGAAACATAACTCTCACACAGCTTCCACAGGTTATTCCTACCACCACAAGATAACAATTTTTTGGAATAAAGTTGAGCACACATTTATTTCAACAGAGAACTTCAGCCTTTTTTAGAAGCTGCCTATATTCTTGATGATTTTGTACTGTGACAAAGAACACAAAAATGTTGATAATGTGAACCTATCATATGCTGCCTCTCATTTCTAAGTAGTCTGTGTAATTGTAAGATCGATTCAGAACATTTCCCCTAACAATTGCTACTCAGTCTTTTACTCATGAAGCACAAATATCACAGATGGTCAGAAGGATAAACTTCAATTTCAGACTGACCTAAGCTCTTCAAAATATCTGAAATTATGTACAGCAATATTCTTTTCTTACTACAGAAAAGAGTTGCAGAACTGTTCAAGAAACCACAGGAATTAATTTTACAAATTCAGAAGATGTATTTCCTGTAATATGTGGGCTACAATTTCCATTTGGAGTATATAGCTCATTAAACTCCTTTTGCTATGAAACATTCACCAATTCCTGATGGAAATGAACAAAGCATTACCAATGAGGCCAGACAAAACTAATTTTTCCCACTACAACCTCAAGGTCAAGAAGCTCCAAGTAGACCTCCTATTTCTCCTCCCACGCATAACAGACACTATTCCTGACATTCCTACAGTAACAAAAAAGACAGAAGATATTCATCTTACGCTCTGGAAATACCCCTAGGACAGCTCTTATCCACCACATTTTTCAAAGGTTCACGAATACTCTGAGCAAACATTGGGTCATTTGGGAAAAGGATCTGGGTGTTCGGACAGGTCCAGTCAAAATTACTGTCATCCAGCTCTGTGTATTCTGTAGTCTAAAATGAAAGATACAGATAACTTATTAAAAACTCAGGTTACATTTTTACAATAAAATTAACAAACAGGCCTACCCTAAGTCATCAGTGTGCTCAGGACATGCAGCAGTTGAATGGAATGAATGTCCTACAACCACACAGTTTCCAGAAGTGAGAAATGCATAATTCTTCTGTGCCTCACCACACAATGATAACAAGAAATCAGTGCACCGCAACACCTTTTTAGGCATAAACACATTGTTTGCAATTTGTAATTTGCCCATCTTGCATTCAGTTTCTAGAACTGTTTTGCACAGTTAATTGTCAACCAGCACACAGTATTTCTCAAGTTTGCTCATAACATACCTAGTGTCCCTGTTCCTTCACACGCTTGACAACTTGAGGAAGTAATTACAATTTCTTTGTAATTGCCTTGATGCTGTCTGAAGCAGCTGCAGGTTTTAAGCAATTCTTATTTGAGGTTACTAATAATGTCACATCTTTCCTTTGGGCAAAAAAAATCTACAAAATATTGTAGGAGATCAATTTCATTCATAAAATACCACAATAGCCATACATCGTAAAGTTAAATGCATGTTTATAAAGAATATTATAAAAGGAAAACCAGCGGCTTCCTGAAACTTCATGAACAAAAGATTCTCCTCATCAGTAATTATACTGACTTGTAAGCTTGTGAAGGGGCAAGGCTGTACCTATATATAATTATAATATTCTATATTTTCAGAAAAGATGATAGTTAACATCTGCACAAATCACTGTTTTATTACGTGAAATCATGTGGAGCGTGTGCACAGTGGAAAAAGTGGAGCCATATTTAGTCTCCACTTTGTTTCTTTGCACTGTTTGCAAATAACACATTGAATAACTGGCAAGTTAATTTTGCCACCTATAAAAATTAAGGTAGTATTTACTTACGTAAAAAACAACGCTGTTTACAATGTATTAGCTAATAAAAACATTTATTTAAAGGCTCCCAAAAATTATAAAAAAACTAAAAGGCTATTAGCTTACTTGAATCAACACTTTCAAGTATCTTTGCTTTTGGTGTGACCAATGGTAGTCACGTCACTTCAGAAAGGTCTACAGTACATTGCGTGTTCCAGCACAGTACAGTACGACCTTTCCTGTTTACAAGAATAAATACAAACAGGATGTTGGCTTGCTACTACCAACTATCTCATAGACATTTCAGCTCACTGTGTTTACATTAAAAATATGTTTACACACTTTATTTTTCCTATCCATTTTTTCCACATCAGCTGAATTCCATTAAATAGTAACACAGCTTCACAGCCTTTTAGCCCTTTCACAGAGTTGTTGAGGCCAGCAGGGACCCCTAGGTCTATTTCTGCAGCACTACCTTCCAGCTTAGTGGCCACAGCATGTCCTGGTACCTAGGGCTGTTCCTCCCCAGGTGCAGGACACTGCAGTTCTCCTTGCTGAACTTCAGAAGGTTCTTGACAGCCCACCTTTCCAGCCTGTTATGGTCCCTCTGGATGGCAGCACAGCCCCTGGTGAGTCAGACACTCTCCCCAGTTTCACATCATCTGCAGGTTTGCTGAGGATGCACCCCAACCATCATCCAGATCATTAATGAAAACGTTCAACGGGACTGGACCCACAGTGTACTCTGCTTGCACTGACCTCCAACTAGACTGTACCACCCCCCAGGTCCAGCCACTCAGACAATTTTTGATCCTGGTCTGCTTAGCTAGCCCATACTTCAACAGCTTCTCTATGAGGATCTTATGGGGGACAGTATCAAAGGCCTTACTGAAGTCCAGGAAAACAATACCCACTGCTCTCTCCTCAGGCTGGTGATTTCAGCCTGACCCTCATCAGATTGATGATTTCATTATAAAAGCTTATAAGGTTGGTCAAGCATGACTTCCTTCCTCTTGGTGAATCCATGCTGGCTCCCAAGAATTTTTTCCTTCATGTGCCTGGAAATAGTTTCCAGGATGAGCTGTTTTATCACCTCCTCAGGGTTCAAAGTGAGGCTGATCATGATCAGCCTGGGTCCTCCTTCCTGCCCCTCTGGAAGACAAGAGTGACAATTGCTTTCCTCCAGTCTTTGTGCAGTTTTCCCAGTTGCCAGGATCAATCCAAGATTATACAGAGTGGCCTTGCAATCACAACTACCAGCTCCCTCAGTGCTCATGGGTACATCCCATCAGGGCCCATGAACTTTATGAATGTTCAGTTTGCTTAAGAATTCCCCGACCTGATCCTCTCCCACCAAGGGTACATTTCATGCATGTTGTCAACAACATACTAAACGGAAACTTTCTTAGATTTGCGTTAAGCACATTTGTAATTCAGACTTAACAAAGCTTAAGATAATTACATTCAAATAAATTATTCTATCCTTTTCTTTGGCTTTTTACTGAACATTTGATATTCTCAAGAAGACTACATAATTAGGCGAGCACTTCATGAAAGCATCACCTGTGAGAATCTTGAGCATCTCAGAAGTAATCACCTTCTCATATTGGGAATGAAAATTATATAAAACAATCTTTAAAAACCTTTGAAGAACTTTGTGCATAATTTGAAAAACGCTAATCACACCAGCGACAAAAAAGCAGCAAAAAAAACCAGTTACATCACAGGTGTTGAAAAAGTTTGGTAATATATGCTGTCCCTTTTAAATCCATTTGCAATTCCTTCACAATCCCTGTTTCCTAAACTCAAAGACAAGAGATGATATTCAAGAAAAAGAACACTTCAAAGAGTGCAGGATATCCACCATCAGGAAACAAACAAAATCAACCTCATGACACTTATTTATAAATAAACTATACCACATTATTGAACATAAATAAGAGAAGTGTTTCTATGCTTCAAGACACAGCTGTAGTAACATAAGGTATTTTGGAAGGTGAAGATAATTTATAAACACATTTATAGTCCTAAATTTACATAACAGATGCATATCACACAAACTAGAACAATTAAACATCTCAAAAGCTATAACTATCTTGTCAAATTAACCTTGCAGAAGTCTCAAGAATCTTTGAAAATCTGCAAAGGGTCTGTGTAGTAAAATAAGCAACAAAAAGACTTAAGAATGTTGTTGTAAATGTTGTAGAAAAATAAGAGAAAATAAATGTGAAGATAAAAATATCAAAGCATGTGATTTTAAGATTTATACAACCCGAGACAGAGAATGATTCTTTTTAAATATCGCTAATAGCCACAACTTTTTTCTCAAGACTGAGTGATGCAGTATCTGATTACGGAAACATTCAGATGCATGTGACTGTCACTGTTAATATGATGAAATGGTTCAGACAAAACAGACTGTCAAAACTAGCATACTATGAACTATGATTTTTCTTCCACTTCCTCTCAGAAAAGGAACTGATCTTCAGCACCAATAAACCTGAGGTTACTTACTGTATTTTTTTTAGAGATGGTTTGGTTTGTAGTGGAAAGCCAAAGTGGTAATAGATGAGCTTCTGTAGTGAATATATAATCTTCTATGTCAAAAATCATGTCTTCCTTATCAGCAAACAGCAGGTAAAGGTATTTAAACATTTCAGCCAGAAAGAAAGAGTCCATTCTATGGAAAAAAACAGATGCCCTTTAAGATACACATTGTTCTAAAATGTCAGTAAAAGAAATACTCATATTGCTCCATCTCTGAAGTCTTCATGACTATTGTTATTGATCTTTATGTTTGGAACGAAGCAATTCAGCATATTCAATACAAAGCAGCATTACACTAAAACAAATTCTATTTTATTTTAATTTTTGAAACTTCTAGATTTGAAGTATATTTTGTTTGAAAGTAATTAATCTATTGCTCTGAATCTAATGAAAGTGTGCTATAAAATTAAAGGTTATTAAACTAAAAATATTCTTATGTAAAACAATCTGTAAAAATATGGAAATAGTTTACAGACTATGACAAGTATTGATAATTTCAGAACTGGTTACCAACCTTAAGACAGACAGCTACTCAAAAGTCTTATTCAATTCAATCTCATCAACAGGGTAAATAGACTTCTTTTCCCCATACAATTTCATAGAAAAAAAATACTGCAAAAGCTTTCACCTGTCTTCATGGCTTCCTGTACGAACGTCCTTCATTGCAGCAAACCCACAAGGTACTCTTGCATACTTGTTTAAGTTTTCAATTAGTGTTTTTCCTACTTCTAGATAATAAGGGTCTCCAGTAGCCTATTAAAAAAAAAAAAAACAACAAAAAACAACCTTCAGGCATACACAGACTTCACAATTAGCTGCTTTAATTGCTCTGTTGTAATATATTGTTTTCGTACCTTCTTAGATACCAGTAAGGCCTAATTTATCAATAGGAGCTAACCAGTCACAAATAGGACCTCTGAGGTACAACACTGTCACCTTTTGCAGAAACACAGACAAGCACATGAAAGTATTTACAGACACCAAGACATTTGGTGTTACTCTGCAAGGTACAAGTAGCTTTTGTTCTTAAGTCTCTACAAGATCTAAGAGATCATCAAATCCTAAATATCTTTAAAAATACGGGCTTTTGTCATTTAATGACTTTTTTTTTTTAATGCTAGGCATATAAAATTCCTAGAACAATTTTTAATACTAATAATACTTCTGTCCTGTCTATATACAGAACTGGTTCCAGTAGATAAAATAAGCTGGATAGGCTACTTATTTTGTGTTGGTGTTGTAATTCAGTTACAATTCTAGGTGCAAGAAAAAGCAACCAAAAGAGGAATGAAACTGATCTTACCTTATACAAGAAATAAGTACTTTCAGCAAATTCAGGCCTTAAAGGATGCTGAGCCCAATGAACTCTGAAGTCTGTTGTGAAAGCCTGAGGAAGAAGAGAAAAATCATGCAAGAAAAACAAACATGGGTTTACTTCGAATTCTGTGTTAACCATATTACAACAGCTGAGGTACACCAGTGGAGGACTGATGCCCAACGCCAATCTTAGGAGGCCACAAGAACCTCCTTTTAGTTAGTTCACTTGAGACCAAAACCTAAAACAGTGCTGTAGCACATTTAGTACAAGAAAGATTTAAGCTGTGTCAGCACAGAAGACCTGACATCATCCAGCCGCTTAGAAATGAAGGGAGCCCCGCAGGGCTTTCAGGAGACAAAAGGTCCCAGATGAGAATTCGTGCTCCAGCCCCAGGAGGGAGCACACAGCCACCCATTGCTCCCACCTGCACCAGCACACTGCTACAAGCCATCCACAGTAGCTTGGTGCAGGGTTGCTACAGAGAGACCAACCAGAGCTTCAAGAAATACCATTTCTGCAAACATACATACCACCTGACACTTCCAGTACATTAAATTGTCATCTCAGACTGACAGATTGTAAGCAGCTGTTTGACATAAGAAATACCAGACACCAGAAGTCAGTTATCTAAAAATTTCCTACTCTGTGTATTCACTCTCAACATGTACTGGCAAAAGTCGCTTCTGTGATGACTTACACACACTACTAGTCTCTACTAGGGTTTAAACCAAGTCTTTGCTAAAGGGGATACAATATTGGCTTAAATACCACTAGCAGATCTTTCAAAATCTCCTTTATGAATACAAAGCACTAAAAAACAACACAAAAGCTTAAAGAAGAAAATCATATCATTTCAAAAGTACTCAAAAAATCATTCCAGTGACTGGAGAGCATTTTCTGGTCTGTTTCCACAGTAACGTTAACTAAAATATCCTCTAAAAGAAACAAACTAGCACCAGATGAAAGTCAAAATTACCAAAAGAGTCAGAAGCTCTCTCAAACCTTCTGGGTCATCACAGAATGACATACTTCAACAGGTAAGCAAGATTTTCTGTGCAGAATTAACTCGCTCAAACACTGCATCTGCAGTATCTACATACAAGTTCTTGTTCCTGCGTTCAGGAACATTATACAAGATTTCAGAACATTCTCTGAACAATCAGCCTTCATTTTCCTTCCTTGGGTTAACGAAGATGACTGATTTTTAGCATTAATGCTATTATGTTACTAAGCAGCTACAACCACATGTGTTTATATAAGCTTTGCATATTGAAATAAGTCAAAATCAATTTTGAAAGGCTGAAATATAAAGTCTAAGCAACTTAATTATTATTACTGTGCTAACTACAGCCTAACTGAAGGAAAAATATTTCATATCCCTATTGTCATACATGTAGGACTGTAAACTGCGTAAGAATGCTGTAGAAGTGTGCCTTTGGTTTTAATGACACGTAACCTACTATTTTTTCAAATGTATGTCTGATACTGCTCAATGTAAGGTAAGAATCAATTTACATGATAAAAAAAACCAAACAACTACCTTACCTCAGGAAGAAAGTTATGCTTTTTTATAACCTGATACAGCATTTCATGAGTTTCAATAGCAGGTCGAATATCACCCTTCAACACCTAAAATTCAGTAATAAAATTAACACAAACTTACCACACGTGCAAATAATATTCAAAGTTAGGCACACTTGCTGTGTAAAGCCACACATGAATTTCTACATTCCCAGCAGATACACATTGTATTACCCTATTTCAGAGTACATCACAGATATTTCATAAGAGCTTTTTAAGCAAAATCAGTGGGGTCATTAAGACTGCCTGTGTAGAGAAACAATTACTACCATTTACAGACAGGCGTGGTGGAAACTTCATTTATTTAACCTTAAAGATGTAACTTGCACACAAGCTAGAAAACTTGTCTTTAGATTATTAAAAAGGCAGCTTAATTCAAGTGTTTTCATGACTAGGAGTGAAGGAAGTGAATCATATGAACATACTTTTCTGGATGCAAGTCAACCTGCATCATAGCATATAAATAAAAGGAGCGAATGCAGAAATTCCAAATTAATTTTTTTGAAAACCAGGTTACTAAGCTTGACTTGTCAATTACATATCCAGTCTATTTAACTGCTTATTACTTATAAAAATTAATCTGCAGATGGGTTTTAAGCCTTACCTGCAATCCTGGAAAGAAAGCTAGCAAAGAATCCATCCAGGTCCTAGCATTTAGCATTGGTTTATGAATATGAACATCAAGAAGGAGAGGTGGTTGACTAATGTATCTCATTATGGCATCATAGTGCTGACAAATAAAATAAATTTGTTATTTTTCTGTTATCAATTATGTTTTACGTGACAGATTTAGATCACAAGCCTATGGCATTCTATTTCAATGGAAGAACCAGTACTTCCCACCCAATTGTTACTGCATTTTGCAATACAGAGTAGTTTCTAGCTTGGCAAACCAAAAGGGTACCAGCTATTGCAATGCTCCACAGTACTGTACATGCTATACAAGTCACATTTTCCAAGTAACACACATACAAAGGTATACTCAAAAGCCATGAGTATACTCAACAAGCAACTATCACAGTTAAAGATTCAGTCTGAACATCTGTACCGTAAGTGCACGCTAAGCAAAGCTGAAATTGCTTTCTCTGAATAAAAGAGAATTCTAAGGCAAGTACAACTCAGGAGGAGAAGAGGAAAAGTAGGCTTAAAAAAAAAAAAACAAACCTAAAGCAACTGGACTTAATTACTGAAAACAATTTAAGAACCTCTAGCTCATTTGACAGCTTTCTGATTTCTAATCCTATTCTTTTCAAGATAGCTGTCTTGTTTTCAGACGCAGAGAAGGTAAATCATGAGCATGAGCCAAAACAATAGGAAGCACAGTTAACAGATATAATTGAAGATAAATATAATAATGGTGGCTTTAAAAGGTGAGCATATATAAAATAAGCATTACACCAAGTTTTGCAATAGGCCTTTAGCTACTGATTTTATCCAATTTAAGTACTGTGTACGATATAAAAGTCATGCTATATAAATCATTTTATAAAAATTTTTATTGGACATTCCTATTTTCAAAAGAAATAATAATCTTTTATGAAAGAATAACAATGCTGACAAAATTACTTAGTAATCTTACAAAATAATGTAATCTAATCTTCAGTTTGTATGTATACATAAATGTATACTAGGCCTTGGAATCTGCAAATGCAATGCAATATCCAGAACATGATTTTCAGCTCTCCATTGCTTCAGGACAGTTCTTAATGAGAAGCTCTTTTGTTGTTTTTCAGAAATCTTTGCAGCACTACACTCTCAAGGTGATCTTGAATTACAGTTCTCTACTAGAAACACGGTAAAAGGTCCAGGAGAAGATTCCAGCCTGCACTGGATGGGGTTAAAATAGCTGCTGATGTGATAGTTCACCCAAGTTTAGCAAAAATTTGTATCAAAAAGAACTTGCATTGCAGACATCCAAAATCTCAGATTCTGCTAAAGATCTCTGCCTAAACTTCACAGGCTAACAACTGACTGACAATACAATTAGTCCTACATTAGTCTTACAGGAGGAAGAAATCCGAGCAAGGTGTTAACTTACTGTGTTAAATCTTTCCAGGAAACTGTCATCTCCCAGCAAGACATAGGCTTTTAATAAATATTCATAATATGAATCTATTCCTGCTCCAACTCCACTATCTAGAAACAACAGAAAATGAAAAGGTGTTTTTTAGTTTAAGTAACTACATAGGTGTTTTCACATGACTTCATTTTGATTTCAAAGGCTCTTTCAGTAAAAGGAAAAACGGGCTCTAACTAGAATTAAAGCACAGATGGATGCAGATACACAATACTGTTCAGCTATACTAAAAGTTTTGCAATATCAATGCACATAATATGAACAAACATGCATCTAAGCCAGCTGCACTTTTCTCATATGAAAATATTCCTACTGACAGCCATATACAAACACAGTCTTATTTATATTTTCACTTTGTATTTATAGTAGAATCTCTCAGAATTTATCCCAAGGCATTCCACTCTTGGTATTAAAGTGATTCAGAGAATGCTTTCTTTACATTGAAAAATAATAGTTTCTCAACAAAAATACTCTTTTAGAGGAACGCCAGGCTTTGTTTGTTTCTCCAGCTCTCAAGTACGTAATACAACTTGCCTATCCTATTAACATTTTAAAATAGTCTACAGAAAGGCAGAGGGGGAAAGAAACATTAAGATTTTTTCCTTGCCCCAAACCACCTGTAATCACTGATTCTGGAGTCAGAATATCACACACCTTTGCGAACCCAGTCTCCAGTGTGAATATTAATAGTAACGCCCACTAAATTACTACTGCGCTGCCTCTTTTCCCAAATGAAGTCAAGCGCTTTCCGTGCATACTCCTGTAAAAACAAGAAAACTCATTAAAGGAAACTGTAACTCATTAAAGGAAACTATAAAGACTGTTTATTCTTTTGTCTATTAAAATTAAGATGCTATGAAGTAGTTTCATGTCTAACAAAACTGTAAAACTCTGTATTAGATTACACACACTTAAGTAGAAGAATGTTTAGTCCACACTTCACATAAATAATTATTCTACTGCTGATTAGAAAGAGCAGTGCTTGTGTAAGCAACTATTTGCCAGTATGTTCTTAGGAAAGTCATAAACATCCTTCTACATGTTTACTACTGTGAAATGGTGCCTACAGACAGGACAGTGTAACCTCATTCAAAAATATTTCAAGAAACATAATGGCCTTCTAAGCAAAATTATGTCTTTTCAGACATCTCAAGGTGGAGCAGCTACCCCGGTTAATTAGTACACAAATTGTATGCATTCTTTACATACATGCAAAGTAACTTGACCAAAACACTAAACAGAGGCTCAACTTTGCTTTCATGAAATCAAATGCCATATTGAAAGATCAAAAAAAAATTATAATCTGAAAGAGCTTGCTTTATTTAGTATCTTTATATACACACACACACACACATATATATATACACATATATGTGCATATATACTCAAACATTTTCATTCATCTTTCTGTTGTCCTTATACCCCCGGATAGGTGTTGTACAACTTCAGTGGGGCTACACTAATTGAGGGACTTCTGAAAATATACTCTTTAATGTACAGCAGAACAACACGATACTGATAGTTTTATGATTTTCTTTCTTTATAAAAGGGAGTTATAATTGTTTTACTATTTTAATCTTTCCTGCTTTGTGACAAAGAAGATGGAAAAATATGTCATGAAGATCAGGTTTGCCCTAAAAAATTCAAAGTAGAATTCTTACCATATTAAAAACTTTGATATTATCTAATAGCGACTGCTATATATTGTCACTTCTTTGTATTCTTCAACTCACTGAATATCTAAAGAGACTACAAACTAAACTGAGCAAGAGATGCTAAGTAGTAGATAGTAAGTCTCAAAAAATGGCAAAAAATTAAGATCAGTGAGTACACTATCTATACAGGCACTAGGAGACAGTTTTAAGAGTGACAGTGGGGTATTTATTACTACCAGAGATACATGGCAAAATAATTACAAGCATGTTTATTTTCCTTCCTTAAGTTGCATATTGAGGTACAAATAGCTCTTAGACCTCAAGGAAAAGGACCACTTTTCCTTTTTCTAGTCCTGAACCCTCTACCCAAAAACTATGCAAATGATATACTTTAGCTAGTCTTCAATACATTTGTTTACTTCTGCATTACTGAAATTGCTTTGAAACAAAATTGGTTCCTGTATATTCAAAAAAAAAAAAAAAAAAAAGAGGGAATGCTTTTGGAAGAAGCGCACAAACAAATCTGAACATATGCAAACTTCTAATGCAAAATAGTTATTATATACATCCATTCAAAATTATTTTTTCAAAATTGCAGAAAACAAATGAATACCTATTATGAAAACAATGGTAAAAAACAAACCTCAAATATAGATGTTCCTGTGAATCGGCTTAATGCAGCAAATTCAAGGATCAAGGTACCTGCACAAGCTGTACAGGTGTCGGTTTCTGTTCCCGTTCTTGCTTCTGGATGTCTTACACCAAATTTTAAGTTAACCTAGAGAAAAGTAGAGATTATTACCTTTATTTTTACTAGCTGTAAGAATTTATACTCCTGTGTAGAGAAAATTCATACTGCCATCTGTACAGCAACTAGATCATCTATGCTTTTTCCAAGACAGAAAGATCCTCCCCTCCTCAATCAATTCAGTTTTGCTCTGCTTCACCATATACTGTCACCTCAAACATGCATATAAAATTTCCAGAATTACCTACAGCAAAACTAGGACTGGCCCCAAAGCCTGTTGCTTGGTTCACTAGACATTTGAATAAAAAGAATACCACCCCAAAAATAAAATTCTAGCACCTTACTAACCTTCAAACAAGAAACTCAACAACATTGGAAGTGCTCGGGGAAATTAAGCTTTGTAGACATCTCAATATTCCTGGCTCCAGGGAATATACCAGGCAGACGGACCCGCTTTTGTACCAGGCACAACATAGCTTTCTGCACTCTAGAGAGGGCCATCTCACCAGAATTTTGAGAAACACTGAACATTTTGAATTGGACATTTTCAGTAGAGCCTGAGTCTTTAACTCACAGGAAAGTTTCCAATCAAAGCTACATCCCACAGTGTAGCAGGAGTACATAGTGTCAAAGCTACATACTGAATGGATGATATACATAGAATATTTTTCTGTCATTCAGAGAATATGTACCACACTGAATATGACAACAGATTTTATATTAAATTAATATTTTTAGATTACAGCTTTCCAGTTACATTTGCCCTCTTTAAAAAAAATCAGATGTAGACCATGAAGATTAATTAGTTCTGTGCTAAGTTGCATGTGCTTGCAAGTTGATCTTTTACTGAGCGATATGTACCAAAACAAAAATTACTCTCAAATACTTGATAGTGCCTGTAGGAGCAAGAGATCAGCAGACAGTGATTAGACAAGATTTATGCTGTTATTATTTACCCATGACAACATGTATAAGAGTTGGCAGAGACGGAAATGCAGGGATTCAGAGTATCAAAAGCTGTATTTTAAAAATAGTAAGTAGCATGTATTGAAAACAAGAAATTTACAAGTTTCTGTTTTTCAGTACACTTAAATATACAAGTGAAGTCAGAAACTGAGATTAAAATGAAACAACAAAAATTTTCCTTATGGAAATACTTCTCAGTTGCAGAAACCACAGAACTTACTCTTGGATAAGGGAGACCACTAGTGGTGTTAAAAGCAGGTAAAAGCTTGTAGCCTAGTTCCTTCGCCATGTGCAGAAGTTCACCATTGTACCACTGCATATGTTCACCTTTTTCTTTCAGCATAATTGCCACTGAATGCCCACCTAGGAGACCTCTAAACACAAGACAAGATATCCACAGTTCAACAGGTATATCCATCTACCAGCAATGCAAGAATTTCTATCGTGTAAAGGACCATATGCAAATAACTGTGCTATGTTCACATGGCTATAGTTTTCAGAAATGCTTAGCAGATGCAACTCCAACCACAATCAAGATGAGGTGTTGGTAATTTGGAAGCAATTCTTATTGCTTAGGACTCAGCCCCAAGTTACAGACAAATCATGGATTCATAAAGAAAAACAGCTTTCTTGACCAACAAAATTCATTAAGAGAAACAAATAGCACTTCTAAAACTGCATATAAATAGCTTAAAATTAACCTGCTCTGATGCTGCTACGAGCAGGAAGTTGGACTTGAGACCTCCAGAGATACCTTCCAACCTGAAATAATTTACAACTCTTAAGTTTTGAAATATTCTCTCTCTTAAATCAAGTATTGAGCAGTGCAACCTTTAAGACTATTTCCATTAAAAAACACTGCTACCTCAGCACACACAGGCTTTTTTTTTTTAATTACAGATGCTGCATCTGCAGAAGTCAGATGGGGTCAACTTGATTCAGCACCACTGCATCAATTCCTGCCTAGCATTTTAAAACCTTTTTTAGGGCAAATTATGTTGAATTAGGCTAACTGCCAAAGGAACAAATGTTTTTAAATGAGGTGAAATAGCACATGAAGGTACACCTTCAGGATATTGAGCTAAAACGGAGTTTTAAAGAATTTTGAAGACATGAAAGTTACTCACCCAAGGACTCGTATGTTGGTTTCAAAGACAGATACAACTATGTCGTTATCTAAGTTAACATCCTTTATTACTTTTTTTACAGCCTCTTCAAACTCTTTGGTTTTATTTAACACCTGGAATACAAATGTAACCAAACATTTAGGTTCCACCACAGCTAATACAGTCACACTCAGGTGTGGAAGAACATTATTTATTTATTATTTATTTATTTAAAAATAAATAATTCAGTAGATACTAAGAGGTGTTCACTTATATGTCAGCATGTTGCCATGGATTATAATTGAAAAAAAAAAATCTTGCATACATTTTTGTTAAATTATAGCATAAGACAAAGCCACAGTGAAATACAGAAGAAGTGTTCCAGTATTATTCTTGCAATGAATTACGAACACCATCACCACAGCATTTGCAAGTTCTTAGAAGCAATAGCCATTTCCAACAGATGGCTAAAGATTAAAGGTGATGAATGATATATATTTTTTTAAGCAAAAAAGGAATCTAAAAATGTAAGTCTGAACAGCTAAAGATCATTTTTTGTTTTATAAAAGTTTACCAATACATTAAACCTACCACAAGAGTGTCCAAGGTATCAATTAAGGTCAGTGAAAACCTATGAAATAAAATTTAAAACAGATTTATTATAGACCTGTATGTTTCAAAATTAAATCATATAATCATATTTTATAGTAACTAAGACCATGGAAGAAACTGAATTGTCACCAGCTACTGAAAAACTGTGCATGTTTAACATCAAAATTAATATCCTGCTGATACTTAGTTTCTTTCCTTTTAGTGACCAGAATGGTTGAAACAAAACTATGATTATAAAGATTCTTTTATTTACTGCAAAACTTTTAAAGGTATTGTAAGCAAATTAAGTTTTTATTTCTCGTCTCCAATCAAATGTACTGAGAAGAGACCCAACGTAACATTCAACTCTCAACTCCCCACGCCGCTTTTTTTTAAATGAAGAATGTTGACTTATTAAACGCAATAATAGAGTTTATTTACTTAGGAAAATCAAAAAGCCAGACCAAGCTAAATTTCTCCTATCAGAAATTGTTCCAAATATGTATTTCAGGAAAAGCTGCAATTTATTGCAATCAAATTCAGTGTTACAACTAACTGGAGAAAGAATAAAGGAAGTGCTGTTATTTTGTTATGAAACTTCCACATGTGATGTAATGGAACAGGAAAAGGTACAAAATGGAGCAGCAAGGGCTCTTCTGTGGGATAAATACCTACACATGTCATTAGAAGACAACACCTGGTGCCCAGCTACAGTTGGATGCATACAGTTTGAACAGTAGTATTGCAGTAAGGGTTGTCCCAATATCCTTCTCTACGACCATTTTAGTGCATACTAAGATGGATGAGCACTTGGCATAACCCAATAAAAGCGCTCTTACGTTAAGTAACTTGTAACATGCGTGGAAAAGAATATGCACAGTAAGAAGCACTAAAGGTGAAAACTTCGGAAACAATCACAACTGCCTATTGAAGAACACGTGTAATGAACTTAAGCACAGTGCCTCAAATTTTGGGTACTGTAGGCAACACGACTGTCCATGAGGATAATTAGCATTGCAGCTAAGTGGTCATATACTGTCACTTTTTAAATTTAATTCATAAAGATATAATGGCATTGCATGGGTGTCATTCTACAAGAGAAGGAGACTAACTAGTGGGCTATGCATAGCTGAGTAACAAATATGGAACTTTTTCCACAAAAAAAAGGGTAAAATTGTGTATTACACAGCTGTAGAGAAGCCTGCTGTATAGGTACACTCCCCAGCCCTACAGCAAAGTACAACTGACCTAGCTGTCTCATCCTGTGATTTATTTTTTTAAACTACATTCTGATTGCAAAGAATGGTGTAGAACACGACTGATGAGCCAGCTGGCAAGAAAAAGTGTTATATATCAAATCTGAAATACAAACACTGCTCATTATTAGGACCATGAAAAGCACGCATACAGAAAAATAAATACCCAAACTATTCAATGCACCTATGAGGCGGAAAGGTATTTTCACTCAAACAATAGTATGTTACTATGTAAGTAAAGGTCATTAAAAAAATGGATGACCAGATTAAAAATAAAATTTCTTGACATTTCTTTCTCATCAGTCATCTCTCTCAATACCTCCAAGGTCAATCTGTCCAATTTTAAACAGACGGTGAGATTATATAGGAATCTCTAGATTAATGAAGTTTTCTACATTACCAGAAATAACCAAAACGACATGCTCAATATCATATAATGTATTAGATGAGGTACTTAAAACAAGCACTTCACCTTTGATTAACGCTATTCTGCTCAGAGGCACTAAGCAGTGACATCAATAAAATCAGTGTCTGCTTTTTTTTTTTTTTTAATTATTTGCTCTAGGAACATAAAGCATGCACACACAGACATTTGTAGAAAAAATTACATTCAGAGTAATTCAATTTGGCTTTGCTCAATTTAACTTGGAGAAACTGTACCTTAAATCCACGTGTTGTTTGACAAAGGATTAGTAATTTATATTTCAAGTTATCTTAAGAGAAAAATTGTGAAGAATTTCTAGGTCTGAAGTAATGGTTTACACTCAGGCCAAGGCCTCAGGCTACCATGCATGTGATAATCATTTGACTAATTATGTTTTCAGAGAGCTTTCTACTTAAAAAAAAGCATTTTATATATCGCTTATAAGGCCAGCATAGTGGATAACACTCTACTGCTCTGTGCAGCTGATAATTAAACCTTATAAACCCTATTTAAGGCTCAAATTTACTAACACCATAGATGGGAGCTCACTTTGGAAGGCTCTGCTACAGAAAATACTTGCAGAATGAATTTAAAAAGTTATCTTTGTATCTTGTTCACCTGTCAATGCTCTCTTCCTGATTAAGGTAATGTTTCACATCAGTTAACATCATGGGAGGAAATAAAAAAATGCAATTATTTTTGCCTAACTGGGAAGAAAGTTAAACAATCACAGTTTTCTAATAGTTTTTTTTTTCTCTCCTTCAAAGCAGAACTTTTGAGACAAATTACTGATTTATGTGCACCCACAGAATTGTTTTCAATATTAAGCTTCTGTATGTGTTGACTGAAGAGACAAGTTTTACAAGCTGCAAATTGTACGTAGCTGTTCACATATGACAGTGTTTCAAATACTGACTTTCCCAAGGCATCATCCACGTCCCCTCGACTTGGTTCCTGACCCCGTACTCGTCCACGACAAGTTAAAGGCATGAGTTCATCAGCTGGATATGCATGCTCCTGAAGGGAAACAAAACAAACAAATGAAGTTATAACTGTCACAGCCATTCCAGGAAATTCTCAGAGCTTGTTAAAAGGAAGCCCAATGCTGCTGTGCTTCAGTAAAACCTGCATGACTAGCCAAAACCGATTAAACTGAACAGTATGATAGGACCTCTCTACCATCTCCCACAGAAGTCTGGAACAAATAATGGCACATCAAAAAAAATAAAACAAAAAAACAAACAACCCCAAAAGTCATAACCCCACCAATTACCTTGAAAAGTAGTTCTACTTTCTAAAGCAAGGTTCATATGACGCTTCCTATAATGTTCCTTAGGTGGAAGTCACCTCAAAGATGAGCTGAAGAACGAGTACTAATGCAGATGTTATTGAGTGACTGGTATTTCATGGAAAAATCAGGGGAATTAGATCTTAAAGTCACTTTGGAAACTTTGCCAAGTGAACACAAGCGATTCAGGGTCACAATCAGTACCTGATACGAGAACTCACTTGGAAAGTAAAACAGGAATTTGGTGAATCACTACACAAATCAGAACAAGAGATGACATTCACAAAAAGCTTAACGAAACTAACCCATTTACAAATTCAATGAAGTTTAAGAGTGAAGCATTACTAGATTTTTGGGAGAAGCAATGGTTACCCTTATACTTCTAGAAAAGCACAAGCAAGCTGTATCGTAACTCAATTTCTTGTCACTAAGGCAGAAATAACAGCAGCGGCACTGTTGCCAAAGTCAAGCCCACTGAACAAAACCCATTTCTACTTTCAGTCAAGTCAGTGTAAGTTTTGTAGGTTTTAACTACCACCAAAATGGGGTATCAGCTGAAATACACACAAATGCGTAACTCATCATTGTGCAACAGATGTTTACTGAAAAATCACAGAAGTGGACAATGACACTCAGAAAGATGAAACTTAAATATCCCTAAATCCAAAAATATGCATGGAAATGCTTCTCCATTAGAAGCCCAACACCAGCGAATTGGGACAGAGCTTCTACCTCTTGATTGCATCAGGAAGCCGGCTGGGGTACCGTGCTCTGCTGCTTTACTTTCAGCACAGCTAACTGACATGTGGCAGGTTAAAAAAAGTTCAATTACTGCAGCTGAAACTGCAAGTAAACACATTATAAATCTTTCCAAGTATACAGTACAAAAAATAATCTATATTCAAACACAACATAGGCAAATAAGGAACATTCTTCTATAAACAAACAGCTCTTACAGCAACTTCTTTTGAAACTGATGGCTTGTTTCCCCATCTACCACCTGGGTATTTCGGTTTTTGCATGACTTTGTTCTCAAGTTCAACTGCAAAAGCCAGAATCTGGATCATTTTAATATAGCTCAGATGTTTCTGAATATCTGTGCAAAGTATTCAGAAAAACAGGTTAAAGAAGTACATGACAAGAGCCATGTCAAAACTAAGATCTCTGGCTTAAATTATGGAGAAAAAAGGTGGCACTGAAAGAAGAAAACAGACTGTTTATCTTACAGTATCATAACGGACAAGAAGAGTTTTGAAAAAATAAAAGCTTGTGTAGTCTACCTAGAGCAGGAAAGGCTACTACAACAAGTGGTTTCCCAACTTTTAACTTCTCCCTTTCAGGTAACCTCAAAGGGAGCAGAAAGACACATTTAATATAAAATACAGCACATATTACGTACCGTAAACATACCTCAGAAAAATATTATACAAATGTAGCTTGAGAGATACTCTGGAATTTCTACACATTCTGATAGAAGCACTGATCAGATTTCCCAGTATCTGGGCTGTAAATTCAGTGCAGCATGGTACTTGAACAAAGCAAAAAGACACACTGCTGCTAGTGCTGCAAAGCAAGAAATGCCTCCACACCTGAAGTGACTGACATTTTCACATTTTCTTTCTGACAGGCAAGAATAAAACATCCCAATTATTATAAATATTGTCGAGGGACTGAAAATAACAACAGCTTTTTATTCAAAGCTCCTGTTAATATCTGGGAAAAAAAAAAACAAAACATCTGGGCAAAGGGGTTTCCCCTTTGTACATAAGGACAGATTTTCAGTCTTTCAGCTATTCAATTCTAAAATAAGTATTAACAGAAACAGAAAATCAGAACTTTTAACCTGGCTGTTTCAAAAGCAGCTGCAAAAAACACTTTATTTTCTTGCTGTCAGAATCAAGCCTGATACCCTAATCTTTTCTTCAGCATTGAACAAACAAGCCACATCTCTGTTTGTTCAGTGTTCCAGCATACGTGGCAAATAAATATCCTTCTGGTTCAGAGTTTCCAGGATAGCCAAAGTCATTCTCCTGAATCCAGAATTTTCTTGTGTCAGATGTAGCAAGACACCTACCTGTTTCTAGTCGATCACAATGAACAGGAGGAGCACAGATCCTTTCTACAGCCAACTTTTTATACAATGTTGCCAAATCCTTAAGAGTTTTTACTTCTGAATGTCATGAGAAAACCAAGCCAAGTGATTTTAACAGAACCAGGGCTCAAGTAACTAGTTACAAATCAACACCAAAATGCCAGATGTTTAACTGCTAAGGTGTCAAAAGCAGGAGCTCAGGAGTTCAGAAGGAAACTGTACCCATTTTGAAAATACTCTTGTCGTTTATTAATTCTGTACCACTCATGCAGTATATAAATGTGTAACTCACAAGCTTCCCCCCCCCCTTTGTTTTAAATGACAAAATCATGATACAGAAGTTGGGACACATGGCAAGATACTGTCAAAAAACTGTTGAGTTTGTCCTGCAGGAACTGGTGCAACTTAAAAGAGAGGTTTCTGTAACAGCCATAAAGAATATACAAAAAAAGATTGTTTCGTACAACTATGCAAGAATACATATTTGATATTACTCACATTTACAGCTTCTACTCAGAAATATATTATTTAGAGTATATCTGAAAGTAACTATCACTTGAGGAGTCAGTCCACTGAATAATTCCTTATGCTGTAGCACATCAAGCCTAAGCTAACCTACTTCAAAGTTGATTAGATTGCAAAATGGCTTCACGTACCCAGAACGTGACGACACATAAACAGAAAAGTTACAAACCATATTAGAAGAAACCTTGGTAAGTGTGGCTTGCTGCCATATGACAATCACATACCCAGAAGAGGGTACAATGCACAAACAAGACACCTTGTAAAAGGCAAAACCTACCAAATTGTATCTAGCATGTCTTCCTACAACAAAAATACTTAATTTTAGCCACAAAATAGGATCGTTTTGTATTCTCCAGAATCAGGTAACAGATTCTCTCAACCTTCCTGTTTTCACTGTTGTTAAGAGTCTGGAACTACAGACCCAAGAGTTTAATGAAGATGAAAACTGCTCATAACCTGATGGGAGAGAAGCCAGTCTGAGGAAGCATCAGGCAGAGATTAACAGTTACAGCTAGCAATTCCTAGCCAGCATTCTGAAATCCATTGTAACTCTCCTGACACTGCTCCTCCTGAAAGATTTGTTCAATTCCGTTTAAAGAGTATATGGATGCTCTTATTTATTTTAGTGTTATTTTCCGCAATACCTTCCTGCTATTTCTCTAGAACATCAAGTACTGTACCCTGCTTTCTCTTCCAGGTCAGCAATAACAATTCCAAAAACAATTCAACAAACAGGTATTTTCCTTACCATATAATTGCTGTACGCATGATCAAACATTTCCAGCACTTGGTTTCTAAAAAACAAAACAAAAAGTAAAGAGAACAGCATTGGTGGTCTGCATCACAATGTCCTTTACCATGCTATCTTAGAACAGCAAGATGTGCTACCATAATCTCAGTCTCAGTAAGTAACAGCTCCTCTACTAGTGTACTCTATTCAAGTAAATGAAATAAAGCAAAACAGTTTTCCCTAATCTGGCTGCTATTTGGCTTTTCCTTTGCCTAACACAAAATTAAGTATTTGGCATGTGGGGACTCTCAGCCTCCTGTGCTTCCTCTTCAATAGCTGTAGATGTCACTAACACGTTACAGGCAGAGACGGGACACGCTCCTTGCTCAGCAAAAGCCAGCATAGAGTTATGTTCATCCTGTAATCACCCACACTAAAACCAACTGACAGAGCATTAAATTCTGATCTGTGATTCAGATAAGTGATGAGATACATATCTTCCTTGCATTAGGAGTCTTGGCAAGCACACAGTAAAGAAAATCCTCAAAGATACATTTCCTGCATGTTTTTGAGAAGCAGTCAAGGTGAGGAGCACTGCCATATAGAACAGGGCTGCCTTCCCCAGAGTGCACCACTTCCATTTGTACCTAATTGTTTTACTGAGTACCTACCCATGCTAATTTCTAAGCTAACAGCTACATAACTCAGTCTCCGCTGATAAAACCAGACCCAAGAAACTTGGGTCTGGTTCAATGTCTTGGGTCTAGTTCAATGACTTGAAACGAAGCAGAGGTTTGCACTCCTCCAGTGAGCCAAGCCATCAAAAAAAAGGACAAGATGCCTTTTCCTGGTATGTCGGAGGCTTCACCCGGCCTGCAGTGCTGGTACCTGCTGCGGCATTCAAGCACCAGCTCCACCAAGCACAGCAGGCTGACCTGCGATTTAGCACACACAAGACTTCTCACAGCTTTTAGCTCTCTACATGCAACTTGCTTTTACAAGACGCTTTCTGAAAGGACTTCTGTGACTGACATAACCTTGTCCTGGAGCAGAGGCACGGCTTACCTGCAGTAAATGACCCAGCTGAGAGCCCCCAGACACGAACAGTGGCAAGACTGCTTGCACACACCAGGGGCATCAGGTGCATAAAGTTGAATTTATGAACACAAAAAATTTAAACCGAAGGGGGAAGTTTAAACTCATTAAGTAGTGACACGAGGAAAGCACACAACATATGTACCCTGAGAACCCAAGATGCAGAGGCCAACTAACTGTAAGCATTACCAAAGTTAAATATCTGCTTAGGTCAAGTGATATTAAAATAACTGAAAGTCTCCACAGTGCTTTCCCTACACATATTGCATCATTATTCTCTGCAAATGACCAGTTGATGTGAACACAATGACAGTGAAGCTGCTTTGGCAATAAATGAAGATCATGCTAAGCTTGATTAAAGGTCTGTCTAAAAAACCAAACTACTTCATGCAGTGCAATACATTGCCACCTACATTGTAGTCTTTATCATGCAACTAAAAGCCATATTAAAAACCAATCAGCTTTCTACACATACACAAAAAGAACCTATGGTTCTAATGTAGAATGTCAAGGCTCACAGGAAGAGATAACCCATCTAAAATTGCTGTACCTTACTGAATGATTCATACAAACATAAACAAGCTCCCAGTTGTGATTTTCCTTGGCTTCGTTATCTGTGCTTTGATTGAGACATATTCTGGGCCTCTTGCACAGAATTTTATTAAGATTGTTTTGCAGCACAGCCTGAGGCCAGCTGGGCGCTGGCACAGTCTGCCCAGAGTCCTGGTCACAGCCCCGAGCCCGCAGGAGCTGAGGACGCGCTCGGGCACCGCTCTCAGACACGGGGTCTGCTTGTGAGGGGCCCTGTGCGCAGCCAGGAGTTGGGCTCGGCGACCCCCTCGCGGGTCCTCTCCAACCTGGGCTCCACTGCGGACCAGGGACGGCTGCAACCTGCCTTCAGCCGACGAAGCGGGCAGAACCACGCCAAACTCCCCTCTTCATCGCTCCCACCCCCCGCGGTGCCCAGGTGCGGCCGCGAGGCGCCCGCCCGGCCGGCACACGGGGGGGGGACGCTCCCCTCCGCCCGCCGCCAGCCGCAGGGCCCCGGGCGGCAGCGGCAAGCCCCGAGGCGGAGGGCCGGAGCCGGCCAGGGCCCACCGGCAGCGCCCGCGGCCCCGTCCCCTCCCCGCCCCGCGCTCACCCCAGCCGCCGCTTCTCCTCCTTGCTCATGGCCCCGGCTCCCGGCGCGGCCGCCAGCACAGAGGAGGCGGAGAGGAGGCCGAGCGCCAGCAGCCTCCACGGCCGCCTCCAGCGAGGCCCCCGCTCGCCGCCGCCGCCGCCCTGGCAGCCCGCAGCTCCGCTCATGGCCGCGGCCGCCCGCCCGCTGCCGCTAGGCCCAGGCCCGGCCCCGGCCCATCCCGCCCCTGGCGGCGCGGCGGCCGCGGCTCCCGGCGGCGGGGCCCGGCCCGGCCCGGCCCTCCCGCGGCGTAGCCAAGGGAACGGCCTCGCGCCGCCGCTTCCGGGTTCGGCCCCGCCCCAGCGGGCCAATGGGAGCGGGCCGCGGCGGCGTGAGGGCGCCGGGGCCACGTGACCGCGGCAGGCGCGAGAGGCGACGTGGACAAAAGGGTGGGGAGAGGCGGGGCCGGACTACGACTCCCGGCGTGCTTCGCGCGTGTACTGCTGCCGCTCCGCAGCGGGCGGCTGCCGCGCGGTTGCCGGGAGATGTAGTTCAGCGCCGCCCCGCGCCGTGACCCGGCCCAGAACCGCCCCGCTGGCGGCGGAGTGGGCGTTGTTCCCCTCAGCAGCGCCGTGCGAAGCGGCCTGCCCGCCGCCATGCCCCGTGCCCCTGCAGGGCTCCCGACAGACACAGGGCAGGAGCTCCTGCCAGACACGGGCCCGGGTTACCGGCCGCTGGCCTCGGCGTTGCTGTCACCCCGACGCCATCCCCACACCTGCTGTCAGCCCAAGGCCATCACCCTGATCCGGGCCTGCCGTAGGAATAACTCAAAAACGGCTGTGATGGGAGTGTTCATGCTAAATATTTCTTGTACTGTGGCTGTACAGATGTCCCTAATTCATGTTGGTCATAAACAGCTGGTGTAGAGCACAGCTGCTTTTGCAGAGCAACCGTCGCCGTCCTGCCATCCGCTTGTGCACACATCTTCATAAAAAAGTCATGTCCCCTGTTCCGTGACATTGCTAAAAGAGACTGCCACTGCCCAACTAACACACATAAACTTGAAGTCACTTAATGTTTAGTACCAATTAGAAATAGCTAATGATTTGTTAAATAAAAATAAATAATAAAACGAAGAAAAACAAAAGAAATAAAAAGCTAACAGTGAAATAACTAAGTAATTTTGCATGAAGGAGGAAACTATTCGAAAGTACTTTTGCAAGGAAAACATACGTGACATTAATGTTTGTACACCGCACTACAGCTTCTGGAATAAATAGGAGTTGCATTTATTTTACAACAGTGACACTCCACTCTGTCAAGTTACTCAACATGTTCCACACTCAGGCAGTAATATTTGCCTGTTCCTCCAGTATCCATTCTCTGTTAGTATTATAGCAGATTTTGATTGCATTAAATAACAGACTTTACACAGGTTGTTAAATGCCAACAAATATTATGCTCTCTGGAGTTTGTTATTTCTTCCCGTGTCTTCATGAATGCAGATCCCTCAGTCCTTTGCTCACTGTGATTATTATTAATCTTGCTGTCCTGTACAGCCTTATATTTATTCAGAAAGAGTCAGAAACCCCAGATCAAATGTGTAAGGTGCCCTACAGTGACCTCTGAAGTGCAGTCTTTATCTCTAAAGCCCAATTTGTTACAATGCTGTTTTTCATTTCCAAGCTTTTCTGTGCACAGTCTTTATATTGTGTGTGCAAATAATGCTTGTAAGCCACTTTGTGCATAGATCACAATTTGATGTGGATGATAGTATGCTGGCTATGAAAGCAACAAGTCTCATTTTAATTACTGCTTTTGAAACTTGATTCTGCCTTCCAAAATCTAAGCACAAGTGAATAGCCCTTAGCTGATTTTTGCTTCACTTAACTTCTCTATTAGAAATTATATGCAATCATCATAATATTTCACAATTATTGCAATTTATGATGTAATTTACACACCTAGAAAGCCCTACAAAAGTAAGTAACTCAAGTCAGTAAGAATGTGAATGGCAGGACTCCTAATATTTGGTATTAGATAGCTGTAAGTGAATATATTTTATGGTGGGAAGTAAAACATAAGGATGCTGCCTTATGGTTATAGTTATTGTAAACATTCTCATCTTTCCCGTCTATAAAATAAAATAAAATAAAATAACCGTAAAGTGCTCTGGAAGGCTAAATAACCGAGAAGGACAGAGTTGGACTGAGAAACGTGCTCCCATTTTTTCCCCTTTTTAAATATAGCAATAAGAAAAAAAATCAGAAAAGTCACTTGTCTTTAATACCTGTCAAAACTTCATAATAATTATGTTATCAGTTTGCAGAGTTTGCTCAAAGTGTGGCTTTGGAGCAACCTACTAAATTAACTATCGTGTTCTGTTTAACTACTAATGGTTTTATTTATTTCCCATATACTGCATGCAAATACTAAAAGCATCTGTGAATAGCAACGTATGTACCAACCATCTAAGACTCATAACAGTACTGTCAAATCCATGCATTTCAAAATCATGAGCCACTCCCCAGTTAAAACACCTAAGAAGTTAAGTCTTAAGTTGTTAAAATAACTTTATAGACAGGGGTGAATTGCTTTTGAAGCATTCAGTGGTGATATTTTCAAACTTTTCTATAACCATAATAGGCAGCAAATTTTAAGTGAAAGATGAGGTTTCCCAACAGCAATCCGATTTTAAGCAGTGAGGGCTTTAACTGAAAGGAAACCTATCACCTATCACTCAGGAAGAGATCTGTGATAAAACTGCAAGCTGGTAATACCACAGTACAGCCCGTTTCCTCTAGCTCCAATTCAAGTAAGTATTCATGATTAAACAGGGATTACTGAAGCAAATAAATCCTATAGGGCTGGGCTGAAAAACACTTCTTACTCTTCAGGGTTTTGCTGTACATAACTACCTTCCCTGTTTTCTTCTGTGAAAATATCTTGTACTTCTGAGCTTGTTATTTCCGTATGTGAAGATGATTCATCTTCTGGCTTCCCTTTGCCCTCACCAGGCTCAACACCTCCTGTGACTTGTATGGCACTAACCTCTCCCTGATCCACCACCAAAGAAACCGGCACATCTATCAGTCCCGTTCTTGGCTTTTCTGTATTCAAAATAGGCACTTGTGCTGTGTCTGGATTTTCAGCAGGATTATGAAAAAAGCTCTCAGTCCCTACCTCCACTGGGACAGCATGACTATCCTCTGCTCCTCCTCCATTCCTATCTAATCTTTTGTCTTCAGATACATTTTCAGTGTGTTCTTCTGGCTGCAATCTGTCACTGTCACAGTCTTCCGCACCTGTGTACCAAACACTTTGCTTCATCTCAACTTCTGATTTTACCACTTGAGGTGTATCTGAGATTTCCACCAGCCATTCTACTTGTGCCGTACTGCAGCCCGCCTTGGACACATTCACTAAATTCTTACCACCTGTCCCCAAACTAGATGAAGGTGGTCGGTCCTCCTTGAACTCCGTGCTTTCCGCTGCATCTTTATTCATCATCATCTGTCTTACTTCTGTTTCTGCCGCAGCTATTTTGCTTATCTCATTCCCTTCATGCTCTTGCAACTTTAAAATCTCACCTTCACAAATCTCTTTTATATTCTCAGGTGGAGTATCTGCTGGTAATTCAACTACTGCCATCAGCAAATTCCTTATCTCATTCACATCATCAGGGGATTTACAACTCTTTTCTTCTGACTTGCTTTCTTTCTCAGAATCCTCCCCAAAACCTCCTTTCCCTGTGTTTTCATCCTGACAAGTAACCCTCATGTCAATACTCACTCCTGTGCCTTTATTTTCTTTTTTACTTTCCTCTTCAAGCCCTGTTCCTACTGCATTTTCACTCTGTGATAATTCTTCTGTAATCCCTTTTTCTACCTTGATTTTCATTTCGTCATTTCCTAAAATCTCTGCTTCTACTACATTATCATGTGGGGAAGTCAGCTTGATCTCAACAACTTCTTCCTGTACTTTGCTTTCTTTTTCAGTGCCACCATCAAACGCTGCATCCGTTGCTGTTTTGTTCTCAGAAGTTGCCTTCTCCTCTACTGCTTCTTCATGTACCTTAAGTTCTTTTTCAGGGCTGATTCCAAAATCTCTGAATGCATTTTCAGTCTCCAAAGCTACTTTTTCCTCCACAACTTCTTGTTTTGTAGTAAGCTCTGTCTTAGTGTCCCCTACGAAGTCTTTTTTCACCATGTCTTCCTTCTCCAAAGCAATATTTTCCTCTGGAACTTTTTGTTTCATAACGGTAGCTGCAAGGGACTCCTGTTTCTCACTGATATCTGTAATGATCACTTCTTCATTTTTGCTTGCCTGATTACCAGCCATATTAACAGAAATGACTGCCTCTTTGTCTGATGGTTTGCTATCATCGTGATCCTTCTCCCAGGAAATCTTTTCAGTCACAATGAGCGTCTCCTCACTTTGAGTGTCAGTATCTGACATCTCTACTCTGGCAGTGGAAGGCTTCTTAGCAGGAGTGGTTTGTGCTGATCCCGAAGGGGTCTTCAGGTCAGTTAAACTGGACACACTTTCACAGGGCAAGTTCAAGTTATCTTCAAAGAGGTTGTGCTTCTTCAGAATGGCAGCTTCTTTTATCACTAAATAAAACAGAAAACGGTTTGGAAAGACTGACAGAAGTACACCAAAGAAGGTACACTATTTCCCCGAGTTTCTAATGTCATATATATTGATATTACAAACAATAGTAATTTTCATTTTCAACTTGTTTTCAGTTTATCTTTATTGGGGAGGGGGGAGAATTTTCTCTCTTTTCATTAATGGAACTTCAGTATTAACCTAAACTTGTAATTGCAGTAACACAAAAGTACCAGAGGGCCTGCAGTGCACAAAGGTAATGTTTAAATGCAGAAGTGATTACACTGGATACATGAACAAATGTGTGCTTATTACATTAATTATTATACTGATATTTTGGAACAGTTGTGCCACAAAAGGCCACTGGGTAACACAGAAGCTTGTCTTTATCTAGCATGTAGATAGGCAGACAGATCCAGAGAGATACAAATATTTTATGTATCTTTATATACCATCTGGCATGGTTTCATTTTCTGGCACACAAGCAGAGACATCTGCCCGGTGTACTGCATTTGCATCAAGAATGTATGGGAAACTGCACCTGGCAGTATATTTCATTTGGGGAAATTCATTTTCACTGCCATTAGATGTCACCAGGCCTTTACAAATAAGAGCATAATTTCACTCCTGGGCCCAGGAAATCAAGATAAAATGAAGGTTACATTTTG